CGCCTTTTCGACTCCTAGCGCTGGGAGATCCTCAGCTAGAAGGCGATACCTCGATCATTACGAACTACCTGGGCACTTTCCCCCATGTGCAGAGTGTTTTCAAGCATGTGACGTTTCAGACGAGTCACTGGTGCTTCCGAGAGCGGGTGCGAAAGATCATACACGATATCGTCGATATAATCATGGAGGATCTCCCCTACTACCTCATGTCGCAGCGCAAGCGTTTCGATCTGTGGGGCAACGATTTCTACCTGGCGCATATCTACCGCCAAGTCAACTGGTGGTCCAACCCTACCCATGTGTCGGTCCTAGGCGATCTTGTCGGTAGTCAATGGATCGACGACAAGGAGTTTGACAAGCGAGGCCGACGATTCTGGAACCGTGTGTTCAAGGGGACCGAGAGGTTGTCCGATGAGTTGGCGCAAACCCCGAGCAACGATTACAATATTTCTGGCGTTTTGGATGGTAGCGATGAAGCAAAGCTTTGGAAAAAGAGAATGCTCAACGTGGCAGGAAACCACGATATTGGATACGCTGGAGATTTAACTGAGGAGAGATTGGAGCGCTTTGAACGAGTTTTTGGAAAGGCGAACTATGAGCTGCGATTCGAGCTACCCATCACGGACCCCGAGAAGATAGCTACGATGTACTCTGACACCAACCCCGAGTCGACACGAGTCATCCCCGAGCTTCGCATTGTTGCTGTCAACGATATGAACCTTGATACACCGGCGAAGTCTCTTCCTTTACAGGATGCGACATACGGCTTCATCAACAACGTCATTTCGACCGCAGGTTCTGTTCAATACGAGGGTCAATTCACTTTGATCCTCACGCATATCCCAATGTATAAACCCGCAGGCATTTGTGTTGACGCCCCTTTCTTCGACTTCCACACTGCAGCAGATGGCGGAGGTCTCAAGGAACAAAACCAGCTCAGCTCTGATGCCAGTCGGGGATTCTTGGAAGGAATCTGGGGCATGAGCTCAAAGAGAACAGCTCCAGGCGGTGGCTACGGCCGCGCAGGTCTAATGCTCAACGGTCACGATCACGCCGGCTGCGACACGTACCACTACATCAACCAGACAAACGGCACAGACCCCTCCCAGCGTCAATGGGAAGTAAAAACCTGGTCCGACGCACAAGAACTCAAGATCCCAGGCACCGATGGCATACCGGGCCGACGCGAGATCACCGTCCGCAGCATGATGGGCGACTTTGGCGGAAATGCCGGTCTGCTGAGTCTCTGGTTCGACCAGGAATCTTGGGAGTGGAAGTATGAGTACGCCACGTGTCCGCTGGGAAGCCAGCACTTCTGGTGGTTCGTGCACATCTTTGACTTCATCGTGCTGGTGTGGATGCAGTCGTACGCCGTGCTCTCTGTGATGGAGGCTTATGGTGTTGATGTGGACGGGCCGTTTTGGAGGGGCGTGTCACGGATGAAGGATTTTGTGCTGCGACGGAAACAAAGTGTCAGTGATAAGAAGAAGTAAAAAAACGGGTTGGATAAACTGTTGTTTGAGTAGTGAAATTTTCTTATAGAATACAAAGCGTTCTGGTTTTTTTGCTTTTGTTTCGCTTGGGACTGCCGTTCGGTGAATTATGGTGGTTGCAACGGTGTTGGGCCGAGACATTTTCGCGATGGGGAGCTGAGTTGAGTAGATATTGCGAGGCGCAGGGCTGGAATAGGATTAGGGTTGTTGTATAAGGTGTGGTGATGAGCGTGGTACTGATGGTAACGGTGTTGGACAGAGATCAGGGCCGCGCGGCGAGGTTGTACGATCGAAGGAAGTGTATTGATATGGCCAAGTCTTGGGGTTGAGGCTGAAGGGAACATGGCTACTGTTTGAGGTTCCAAGCATGAGACATTGTCTTCTAAGGTGGGATTTGAAGGTTTGCCATGGCGAATATAAACAATATTTATGAGGCTCTGAGTTCTCGATACGGTCCAGGGAGTGCTGAGATGCTCCTGAGCAACGCTTATCATCATGAACTTCCCCTACTTACCAATACCATGAACTGTGCAAACACAATATCATCATCACAAACACTTATTCACATCTTTCAGCTGACACGAACCAAATCACAGTAGTGCCATGATGCAAAGACTATTGCGCGTGGTCTCCCACGCCGGTAGCATCAGCATCGCGGTGATACAACCGTTGAGGTTGCCCAGCGACCAAGGAGCTCTACCAGATCCGGCGAAGTACCGATATCTACCATGGAAGAAGGTCCGTTGCGCAGAATCGTGTGTGGAGTGTGATCAAAAGCAACGGTCGTTTGTGTGAGATCAAGTGATTGGGATGGGTGACTACATAAACCCAGGACCAAACCACTGGGACTTTGTTGAGATTCGCATGATCATACTGATACAAGACGAAGACCACTTATTGAGATATTGCTTGAACCATGCTGCCTCTTCAAGGACTCGGCGTACTGATGCTTCTGAGCGTCGCAGAAGGAGTCCCGCGACCAGATGAAAGTCATCAAGAGCCACTTCTCAAGCACCATGCGAATATACCAAGGGACAACGGTGTACCTACCGACATGCTTGGGGCGATGAGTCCTCAGACAGACTACAGAACAATGCCGGCGGGCACTTACACCGAGACAATCTCAACAGACCTAGTCAGGATAATCGTCGTCAACGAACCGACGCCTACAACAGGCAATCAAGCAAAATGTCCAGCGGAGTGTGATTGCACAAGGATAAAAGATAAGAACAGCGATGAGTAAGTTCATGATACCAATCAGGTTTCATTGCTGACACGCCCAGATACGCACAATGCTTGACCAACGCGGCATGCAGACCATGCAGAGAGCCAAATCTGACAGCTTCATCGACGATAAGGCCAAAGCCAACATCATGTCCCGCTGAGTGCGACTGCACCAAGATCAAAGACGAGCAGAGCCAAGAGTAAATACATTTCAGCCTTATAACCACAAACTTCACTTTTATTAATGAGTAACAGGTACTTCCAATGTATAGCAAACGTCAATTGTCGGAGTTGCCGAGTGGGAACCCCACCCAATTAAACAAGCACGTGAAAACAGGTTATCATTGCAAGGTGGTGGTATTTGGGAGCTGACACTGACACTATCGTATGATGATGGGTAGCAGGATAAAAAATGTTGACAAAAGAAAAAAAAGAGAATGCGTTTCTTTTCCCCCGAGCCTTCGAACAAATGCAACGCTAGAATCCGTGAATTAAGCCAGATTGTTTGTTGGTGGTTTTAACAGCAGCAGTCGAAGCACTCAAGACAACACTCGCAGGTCTCGCCGCAGAGCCAGCAGCAGCAGAGTGTAGCGAGACTGTAGTTTATTAGTATTTGATGGGGTAGTAGAGAGTGAGTGAGGAAGGCTTACCATGTGTATAGACAGCCGTGGCTCTTCTCTTCTTGCTGTGGTGGTGGAGGGGCTTGCTGGTACTGCATTGGCTGCGTATCGTTAAAAACCGGTGATCTTCTACTTGAGCTTCATTTACTTACACCCTGTGGGGGAGGGTAGGCCTGGGCCTGAGGAGGGTAATACTGACCCGGCTGAGGAGGCGGGTAGTAGCTGTACAGACGTTAGCTTCTTCTTCTTCTTCTTCTTCTTGATTCTTCTCGTGACCGAGAGCTTACCCTTGTTGTTGGTTGGGGTCCATTATGAGCGAGAGATGTGGTTTATGGGATTTGTGAATGTGTAAGATGCGATGGCAGAGTTAGAGACAGGAAGAGAGACCGTCAAGTTATATTATGAGGCGCCATGTGTTTTGGTTTCTATCTGGAGCGGAAGGAGAGGGTCACAGGGGGCGCAGTTGCAGACGAGACGAGACGCCAGATGAACTGTATCCTTCTTGGCTCGTTGCTGTGACCTTGGCGTAATAACGGGATTCCCGCGCACCAAGGCCGATTTAACCGTACAGCAGTCTTGGCACCTTTTACACAGACGCTTTACTGATTGACACTCACTGTCTGTTGGTTCTTTGCGCTGGACTTACACTAATTGCTAGTTAGCGACGGTTATGCCGGCACGTTCCGTTACGAGTCGGCAAATGATGTTGGGTTTTGTCTCCCTTTTGCACTCTAAAATGTTAAATTGCAGTCTCTGGGCGGCTGGGCCCTTCCTGCCTTCTCAGCTAAGGGTCTTGGGGCCTCCACTGTGAATTGACGTTGCAGGGGTTTAGCGCTTGGCAATTGCGCGTCCACCATGGCTGAGCTTCGCTCCTACATGAAGGGTCCCCTTGGCGCAAGGGGATGGGCTTGAAAGATTGTAGACTAGCAAATGCCTGACAGAGCACAAGTCAAGTTTGTTAACGCGGTATCATGAAGATTACGAGCCACAGCTCTTCATAGGGTCTGCCGTATAAGTTGTTTATTGCTACGGAGCTCTCATCGTATTCTTGATAAAGAGCTGATCCTCAGGCTGTTATATTATGTTAGCCTTGCCAACTGTCTCTTGTCCTGTTCTGTCTTGTCACGAAACACTCCTGGCAAGTTGCCGTTGTATTCCCGAACCCTGTATGATCAACGCGCGCGCGTACAGGACGTGCAGGTACCGCCACGATTTACGAATACTCCAACAGCGAATGAATCGAAGCTGTCCAAAGCCGCGGGCACCGATTCCCTCCAACGCGCGTTGTTTAGCCATTGGATATTCGCTTTCGGCTGCGGCTGAGTCGTGGAGCTTGTCTTAGCTTTTGGTGTCTTGGACGAGAGACCCTTGACCGTTACGTTGTATCGCTTAGTTACCGGTTTGCGCCGCATTCGGGGCCCGACAAATGCAGCCGCCGACGAAATCTGTTCTAATTGATGGACGTATCTGGTTCATGCTAACGTTGGGTGCTTCTAAGTCATTGCTATCTTTAGTGATTCACCTTCTCACCCATGATTAGAGAGGCACGTTGCTAAAGTGCATTGCGGCGCAACACGAAGCTCTTCCAAGCGCTTTGATTTGCGCATGACTGTCTGTTATCTCGACCTGAGCGAAGCGGGCGCAGGAAGGACAACCATGCGACTCACGGACGTGCAGCCAACCGATCGACATGCTCCTTAATCCTCAGAGCAGCTTCTTTGGAACTCAATTTCGTGACATCTAGCACCAACTCAGTCTCTTTTCCGAAGCGATAGATTGTCTCGTTCTCTAGAATCGGCCTCAATATCGTCTCGTCCGTAAGCTTCGCACCGATGTTTGCAGCCCGCGTTGGGTCAATCGCCCGCCTCATGTTCTCCCCAATCTCGCACTCTAGCACGATCGATATGAACGAAACGCCTCGCTTTCTCGCTGCAACTTCGTAGTCCTTCGCCCCCATCTCTCCCGCTGCGCTTGCCTCTCGCGCATCCGTAAAGATCCATGTTATATCCTTGGTATATTCCGACGTCGCGATTTCGATCAGCACGTATCGCCGTAGACCCGTTCGCATATCATGATAGCCTGGAGACGAGCGCTCGACAAGGGCATCGATGGGATCGATGAGGAGGTGATTGTGGTAGACCTTTGAGCTGCGGAGTAATCGCTGGAGCTCGTTCGCGATTGTGAGCTTCCCGATGCCGGGAAAGCCGTTGATGTAGATGAAGCAAGGCATGTTTCGGCAGATCGGGCGTGATGTCTGATAGAAGGCCTGGGAATGCGATTCTTGTACTGGCTTTTAGCTTGAAGAGTTTGTTGATTGTTGAGGAATCGCGGACGTTGGCATTTGAAGTTCGACGGAAGGTGAGTCACTGTTATGCTTTTAACAACCACCGAGCCTTCCCAGAATGACCACTCAACGTCGCGTACCAGAAGCTTGAGTCGACGACTCAAACTTTGATCATGCCACCAATCTTCGTAAATCTTGCTCAAGAGGATCAAGCACTCCAGAAATCACATCCCCTTGAGAACAACACGAACCTCCAGCTGTACCAATCTGCATATCCGATCGTAGGCATCGCTCAACCGCGTTGTAATATCCGAGGCCACCAGCCATCATGACTCTTCCCAAGAGCTTATTAGCTGCTTCGTAGTCAAGGATATGTCTCGGTAACCCGGGCTCTAATGTTTGAGTCCAGGGCGAATCCAGAGTTGCTATTGACTGCCCAAGAATGAGCTCAGTGAGTAGGATTCCGAGATAAAGCATGAACGGGTTGGTTGGTGATGCTGCTGGGTTGACCCTGGGGTATTCTGGGAATTGCCTGAGGACAAACACATGCCGGAATCGAGGAACACCACCCTTTTGAGCAATGAAGATATCGTCACTTCTTGGAATGTCCGCAACCCAAGGTGTGCCTTGCATCTGTAAGACACCACTAGCAATCATCCAAGCCAGGCGTAGCTTGTCACCGTAAAGCAGCGCTGGATCTTGAAGCACTTCTTTTAGTGGTACCAGAGACCATTCATCACAACTACCCAAACATTCAAGTGTATAAACATCATACCTCTTTGTCTCTGTCATGTAGCAGTGCTGAATATGTCCACATCTCTCACCCTGCCTTCTCTTCCCCATCGTATGCATTGCTTCGCAGAGATTGCTGATGTGTTTGGAGCAAACAGGCTCTGATATTGTCCTGAGCGTATTGAGTGTAAGGTTTGATAGGGCCGATTCAATGACAACTGTCTGTGATTGCTGGCTGTTTGTCGAAGAGGTAGTTGAGGGGACAGCAAACCCAACTGTCTTCCTCGAAGTGGATGTACTTTGTGCCGTGAAAGAAACCATCGACGTCTTCGAGTTCTCTCCGCTCTTCAAGAGAATCTCATTCCATTGCTTTGAAGTATTGACTTGAGATCCCGCTAAGTACGAAACTGCAAGACGGAACTGCAACTCCTTGATAATATCCTCATCATCATCCTCACGCACAACAGTCCGCGATGGCGGTGTCAGCCTCAAGCCAACATCGTGTAGGCCAGAGCATTTACAAGTCATTGTTGACCGCAGAGCATCATATATGCCGCTCAGCATTCCGTTGACAAGCTTGTTGAGTCTTCCCTGTGATCGAGACTTTCGTTGTGACTCCAGGTCCGTGTTGAGGACTGCTAGGCGCTGAAGAGCAGAGACACCGTCGCGTATTCTCGTAAGGGCTTCCTCATGGTTGGACTTCTGTAGAATAAACGTCGCCCGCTTGAACTGCTTTCTTAGCGACGAACTTTCAGCCCAATCAGCCTGTTCCAGTCAGCTGAGGCATAATGTTGGCCGTGGCTCCCTACCTTTCCGTCTGTACCAACATTGAGCTTCTCCATCATCTCCTCGATAGATTCCTTCATATCCTGCACTCTGTCATCAAATACCTGCAACGATGACCAGAGCCTCAGGCGTAACTTATTGAAGATCTCTTCTTCCCCCCAAAGATCTCCGAATGGATCTCGGATCATCTCCTCGATACGTGTTTGTGGAGCAATTCCCGTGAGAAGCTTCTCGCATATGTTTTGGAGATTGACATGCTCAGTTTTGAGAGTTAAGATGAGGCTCTTGAGGATTCGTTTGTAGGATCGGAAATTCTGCAAAGTACCGAGTCCGTTCATGTAGCATTGTAGTGCAGATACCACGATCGGTATACTGCCGAGCACGATACCGGCAACCTCGAAGCCAGACATTGATACGAAGCTGATGAAGGGACGAGAGTGTAAGGAAAGAAAATTGTGAGGCTCCGAACCAGGTCTTGTTCAGCTGCGCTGATTGAGGGTTGAAAAGAAGAGGGGTTACGGCTGACATGCAGCTGAATATTGATCTGACCAACAGCACCTGCAGATAGCACATCCTCATGGGCCACTAGAGGGCATGTGCCATTCCGATCTTCTTTCCATATTTTCTGGGTCGATGAATCTCGAGATAACAAGCACCCCCTATCTTCATTGAATTCTTTGCACAGCCATGAACACTATTGCTGATCATGTTTCGGCCTGTTTTCAAGAGTTCAACAGTTTCTGCAGCTCTCCTGCAATATGGCAAAATGGCATCCCCGATGATGGTGCCCGGAGCGATATATCTCTCTTGAAGCTGCAGAACGAGCTGAGCAGATTCAAAGTTTGGAGTGGCAACATTGGCGCTCATAAAAAAGGAAGAAGTTCACTTGATCATCGGCTGCGAGATGCGTCAAATATCCGAGATCAGGTGGTCGAGCTCTTGGAGGACTTGAAAGAGTCTCTACGAGATGGTGAGTTTCTCGATCGAGTTGCTCAATATTCCCTCTGACGTCAATAGCCAAGGAAATTCTCACCGGACAACTAACACCGTGGGATCAAGACCTATCCCCAGCGGAATTTTCAGATGACGACTCGGACGATTAACCAGTAAAAGCCGACGTATCCGGACCATCTGAGCTCTCGCAGATATTCGCTGCCATCGTTGAAGACATCAACTGCCTGTTCAGACTATCTGTGTCCATTCATAACCCTTCTCCTCACGATCGCTTCAAGAAAGCCTGCTTGACTGATACATCTGGCTACGAGCCATTTGACGTCCAGCATGTGTGTAACAAACTATCCAAGGCCCCGAAACCTATCGCAGAGAGGCTTGGAAAGGCTATCTCTCGACGAAGGCAGTACTTTAAATACAGAGAACTGCATCATGAAAAGTTGGCAAGTGGGCTCCATCTCGATGGCAAGGACCAGATGCAGAGTACTGTAGCCTCTTCATTGCCAAAGAAGCTTAATGTGAATGAGTCTATATCTTTGGAGGAGGAGGTGGATGATGCATCGGATACTGGAAGATCACAGACGTCTTGGGCAACATCTGCTGCGAATCCAGAGAGACGGAAGATACCTGCCCTTCCAGAGGAAGCCGAGAATGGACCTTTCGAATGCCCATTTTGTTTTATGATGATATCTGTCTCATCAAGGAATCATTGGAAGTGAGTTAGCATTCTCTCTCCAATATGATTGTTACTGACTTGAGATCATAGGAAACACGTATTCTCAGATCTGTTTCCTTACATTTGCGTCGAGCTGGGCTGTCCCGCCCCAGACCAAGACTTTCAGAGACGCCACCAGTGGGCGGGACATGTCAAGAAATACCATTGGAAAATATGGACCTGCAAGCTTGGATGCAACAAGACCTTTAACTCTTCGCAAGATGTGAAACAGCATTTAGCGGAAAAGCATTCGGATGCCACTGAATTGACTCACCTCGTCAGTCTTCTGACCATGTGCGAGAGGACCAAGTCAGAGAACGAGCCAGCAGACTGCCCTCTGTGCGGAGAAAGACAATCTTCATTTAAACAATACCAACGGCACGTTGGTCGTCATCAAGAGGAACTTGCTCTATTCGCATTACCGCACCTTGAAGGAGAAGAAGATGAAAAGAACCACGAGTCTGATTCCGAGTTCGAGGGAAATGAAGAAGTGGAGTCTGAAGAAAAAGACGAGTTGCAGAAAGCCAGCTCTTATGTCACCCGACTTTCCAACGAGAGCGAAGATGAGGCTACGGATGTATCCGAGCCAAGCATTAGATATGCCACAGACGTAATTGTCGATGGCTTTGGTCTCACACTGCCCGAATCTCGCCCATGGAAGTGTCCGATTCCGACCTGTACATATCATGATCACGGGTGGTTTACCGAGCGTGATAGAGACCGCCACTACCGCGAGAAGCATTCCGAAACCCCTGCCATTTACGAGTGCATGTTTAAGCCTTGTACCTACAAGTCAAAACGAGAAACGAACTGTAAGCGGCACATGGAGAAGGCTCACGGTTGGACCCATATCCGTCCACAGGAGGCTGACAAGAAGCTGCCTTCGATATCAGATATGGGGATAGATACGGCCATTGAGCAGCCGAGAAAATCTCTGGACACAGACACCGCAGATGAGTCTTCTGAGCACCGAAAAGACCCTATAATGCACCACCGCATCGAAATGAAAGCCCCTATCCTGAACAGAGGAAGTTTCGAGCCCGCCAATGTTGACGTTCTGCACCTTAGACACAAGGAATCCTTATACACATTGAAGTTTCCGCGAAATGACATCGGAGATGGCAAGCTGCGAGTGTCTAAGATCAGAGAGCTCGCAGCGGGAATGACATACGTCCCTGAGAGCTTCAGACATCTGGTCGAACTTTCTTGCAACGACGTTAAACTGCTGATTGATGGTACGCCCATTCGGAACTATGGTGTATCAAGGGGTGATACAATAAAGGTTGAAGCACCGCAATTCAGAAAGCCTGGCCAGTTCAGCGGTCCAGCTAATCATGATCCTGTGCTGGATAATGGGCACGGCACTGAGGGAAACATGGGACTCGAGGGGAAAGCAGAACGTGACGAGCGCCGAGCAGAGTTCTCCTCGGAGTTACGACAGAGAGCCATGGTGGAATCTTTTGGCTATCAAAAGGCCCCTGCAAGCTCCGACCCACAGGATGAATCAAGAGAAGAGACAGATGGCAAAAGGAATAATATTCGTAAAAGGACAAAAACTGGATGTTTAAGTAAGTCGATCAATCCCCTACTATAAGTATGACTCATAGACCAACGATACTAATGAAGATAATAGCATGCCGTAAGCGTCGAATAAAATGCGATGAAGGAAGGCCGATATGCAGTAACTGTATCAAATCTAAACGCCATTGCGAGGGTTATAACCAACTTATTAGCTATGGGGGCTCTATGGGTGCGATACAAGGAGTGCCAGGCCCCGAAAGCGAATCAGATGTCGAGATAATGGATGCACGCTATGTTTCTGGACGTATCCAACCATCTACAGAGGCCGACCACAAGGTTGGAAGAAGTTCTACACCTGGAGTTAGATGCCCCACCTGCGCTTTGGAAGGTAAAGAGATATGGGTTCTTCCCGGGCGCTGTTGTGGATATTGCGGAACACCGTGTGCAGATGAGGATACTCTAGACATTCATGATTCGTTCAGAGCGACAAACATCAACGATAACGAGAGTTGGTTCCCTTTGTTCACAGCGACAGGCGTCAGTGATGAGGAGCGGCTGCATTCAACTTCTGAAGGACTCAAGAAGAAACAAGTATCGTGTCCGAGCTTCTCAGTCAATGGTTATTGTATGGACGGAGCTGAATGCCCATTCATCCATGATCCGGCCATGATATCCACTTCCGACCTGTCTAGCAACCAAACTAGCACCATGGATCCTTTGCCGGATCCCGAACTAACGATGAAAAGTAATGAAATCAAGGTTTGGAAGGCTTTGTGTGCACTAGAGGACGAATTGGAAGTAGGATGGCGTCCAATTTGCAGATTGGCCATTGGCTCAGACGATGGTTCAACAAAAAAGGGAGACGAACGGCTCGGACTCATCAATGGAATTCATTCAAATATTATAAAGAAGCTGAGGCGAATTGAACAGCTCAGCACGCCTGATATCGTGGCAAAGAGAGGCCAGATAGAGGTAAAGGTCGACGAGCTTTTAGCGAAACTAGGTGTGATATCGACGACAGGAACAGATAGCTATCAGATTACATAGTCATGAGAAGAACGCAATTTGATTTTGTTGTCTCACCATAGCCTATGTCGAAGTGCCCGTGAATGAATCGTGCGTAGACCCCATGAGGAACTTGCTGCTCAAGAGATCAGGAAAAGCGCCAAGGTCCACAGATATCGCTCTAATAGTGTGCGAGACATCACCAATGCGAGCGAGGACACTAAAAACTCTAGAAAGGGATGGGGGTATCCATTATAGGTGCCGTGGTCGCTTGGGGAAAAGGAGACCGGGTTGGATGGCCCAGTGTCATCAAGACTAAGTGCCACGACTGGATTTCAGAGACTGAATAGTTTCAAGATGAATCAGGATGACAATGACATGGACTTGATGACGAGCCAGAGTTTCGGAGAATGTCTATGGAACGGCCGTCGTAGAAACGATGATGCCTCTTTTAACCTCTCAACTTATCCCAGTTAGTCGGTATTTTGACAGTTGGCTAGGTCTACGGGCCGGGCGGCCCGTTATCCTAATTAGTGGGTCAGCTTCAAACGACCAGGGACACGCTCCTTGTCATATGATATGATATCATGTCATGCTTGCTCCGTTTGAAGATGACTGCTAGAAAAAGGCCTCAAATCTCAGACATGCATTTCTTGAAGCTCTCACCCCTCATCTTATGGTGTTGCTTCTGTTTTCATCTTGGTCTAGATTTGTGATATGATCATGTCGAACCAATCTACAGGAAATACAACCGCGCCCGAGGAACCGGGGCTAACCATTGTCAAGCCGAAGTCTCCGTCGAAGTCCCCTTCGAAATCGCCGTCAAGGTCCCCACCGGCTCAGGGCGAACTTGGCCCTGCGGACGATTCTGATGTCTGTCCTTTACACCCATCTCATATTGAGGACGGTGCTTACTTCCGAGCAGCATGATTCTCATGAAGATGCCGACTCTTCCATTGGGACCGATACGTCAGTGCCTGTAGATACAGTGCACATCCCATGATTCTGACAGTCCTCGCAGCGAGAGCTCAACCGCCTCTGTTTCTGCTAGCATCCTTGAATACCGTCGAAGCCAGGGGCGCACGTACCACAGCGATAAATTCACCGCGAATTACTTCTTCCCCAACGATGATCAACAAGTTGAGTCTATGGATTTGACGTAGGACTTGGACCATGCCCCAAGGTATATAAAGAAGGTGCTGACTGAACAACAGCCACCACTACTTGACGCTTCTTTTGGACGGTGAACTGTTTCTTGCCCCTCTCAAAATGGATTCTACAGAGGTAAGATGCTCTGAATATTCCCAAACTGGCTGAAAGTAGCTATGCTGATTTGTACAACGCTTCCTGAAGCGAGTTCTAGATGTTGGTACCGGAAGCGGTGAGTTCTCATCTGTTCCTCTTTAGATCTCCACTAACAGCTTCGCAGGTATCTGGGCCATGTATGCCATCATGGCAAGCCTGGGTGTAACTCAAGCTAACGTATAATAGTGAATTTGCCGACCGATATCCCAACACAGAAGTAGTCGGCACAGATCTGTCCCCTTGCCAGCCCCAATGGGTTCCCCCGAATCTTCGTTTTGAAATCGACGATGTCACACAACCTTGGACGTGGAAGGAAGATTACTTCAGCTTCATTCACATCCGATATCTTTTTGGTGCTATCAAAGACTGGAATAGTCTCTTTAGCGAGGCATACCGATGTTGTGCACTAGGCGGCTGGGTCCAATCAGGCGAGGCCGATGTCACATTCCGTAGTGACGATGGAACTACCGAGCTGGAACCTGTTTTCAAAACCTACCAGAAGCTCTTTGAGGAAGGTAGTCAGATTCTAGGCAACCCCTTCTTTGTCCACGATTTGCAACAGAAGGCTTTTGAAGAGGCTGGATTCACAGATGTTGAGACTGTTGATTACAAGGTATGTTTCTCTGAACTTGACTATAGTTAAACTAAAACAGTATTTTGCAGTTCCCAATTGGCGGTTGGCCCAAAGATCTAAAGCTCGCTGAGGTTGGACGGTTTGTGAAGGCCACACTGGAGAACGATTTGGAGGGTAAGACTAACAACCTTTGACTATTGATGGATTTCTCACGCTTGATAGGTTACACTCTTATGATGTGGCAAGACGTTTGCCAATGGCCCAAAGATGAATACCAGGTGTTTCTCATGAATTTGCGTAAGGCCATACGCAACCCAAAGGTACACAGTTACATGACTGTACGTTACGTGTACGGTCGTAAGTAGGCTAGCTGTGTTAGCCATCTTCAGAGAAAATGTTTTGCGGTTTGGATGGATTTCTTCTGTTTATCGATTCTTAGCTCCGAGCCACAGGTCTAAGATTATGAAGAAGACATCTAAGGTTTCAAGCGCGGGAGGACAGACAACCAGCCAGGAGTAATTTGTTGCTGGGCTGGTGAAATACACAGAAAAGGTCTCTATTTATTGCTATGAAAATGCTATCTGGGATCCTCTATTAGGTTATAGTGATTTCCTCCCAGCTGTTATCCTTTACCCCTTCGCCTTCCATGATTCCGTGAACGTAGCTATCCCCGATGATTTGATAAGTACCGTCAGCTCGAGGCCTCATGACCAACGGCACCGGACAAGCCGAAACCACCCAGACACTGTCTCCTTCTAGTGCAGACGAGAAACCCAGTCCTATATGCCCTTCGTCTGTCAGGAAAACTCGGCGCTGACCAGCATATGTTCCTAGTAGTGACGCGTAATTAGAAGCCAGTATAAACGTGTCTGCAAGCTCCTTAGCCACCACGGACGTCCACTCCAAGTCAAACTCCTCGGCAAACCCCCCCAGTGAGGAGGTCCTCTCCATGAATGAAAATATTGACGCCAGCTGTGAGTCTGGAGGATCAGAGGCACCTAACTTTTGCAGCATCTGTTTGACCCATTCCATACTTGGAAGCATATCGCCAGCTTCGTCTCCATCCCGGGCCACAAGAGACTGGAAGTTTGTCAACTGTCCCAAGTATACAAGTCGTTGGTCGACTGTCATTGAGGCGTCCCAGACCCGCAAGTATTGAAATAAGATCCAGCATAGCCAGGCTCTGAAGGCAGCACTAAGCTCCGAGGCATCTATTGGTTCGTCTATATTTGCGCCAAAGGTGAAAGTACGCCAAGAAGCTTCAAGAGTGAGTTCTCCAGTTGCCTTGTAGCGCTTGCCGCACCGTAGTAGCATGGCCGCAAAGGGTTCGACGTGGAGGAAGTAAGCGAGTGCGTAGAATGGATAAGACCCTGGAAGAATCTGTCCGATACGCTGGGCCTGCACAGAGAGCCTCGAGCCAGTAATGCTGAATCTCAGAGAGCCAATCTCGCTATATCGTGCTGCGTCCAAATGAACTTTGCCTCTGCCCCACGGGAAAAGGATAGGGGCAGTTCTTGCAGCAGATGGCTCGTTGGAGAAATTAGGCACCCATGAGGGTATACCCTCTGAAGGTAAATTCACTGTGCCATGGTGAAATTCTGCAATCCCAGCCAAGGAGATGAAACCGAGGTGATTACAATGATTTAGGATTTTAGCCGTTGCGGCTGTAAATACCTCAGCAACTGAAGCATTGTAGTCAACTTCCAGATCGCATCGAGGAAGTCCCATATGGCTCGCGGCCATATTGACCATTCCCAGTAACGAATAAACCCGATCACGAGCATTCGTTACCTTGAACTTATGGCATATCATAATCATGTACGCCAAGTGAGAACTGGCGGTCGTTTTCCAATTACCAGGGCCGGTAAGATCCTCGATAAGAGAAATCTGTGGGTGATCTTGGGTTTTCCTCAAGCTTTCGAGGGATATGTTGATCACGCCGATGAAGTGAATGGCGTAGGGTCCTGGCGTCCATGTCTTTATCTCATGCACCTTGACCATGGCCAATGTCGCGTTGGGATACCAGCCTAGTCTTTGAATCATTATCAATGCTGAGGTGAGCTGTTCCCAAGAGATGCATTCGCTGTTTCCCAGGAACACAAATGTCTGCCGAGCGAGAACGGTCTCTTGAATCACCCAAGCTCTGCGGAACCAATTCCGGTCCAGAAGATCAACGAATGGCTCCCAGGCTTTAGAAGGAATAGGTGGAAGGCCTGAACCTTCGATTTCGCTTTTGTCCAGGCTCACTTCACTTCCACGTGTCTCCTCAGCCAAGCTGGAAAGTGCCCGTGTCAGACGAATAGCCTCAGCTGGGTCCTTTCCGCCATCACCCAGCCAGATATCGACTCGGGCTGCCATGCTGTAAACCTCGCTCATGATGCCGACCTGGATCTCGCGCTCCCTTTGGTTCGTCTGGTCAATACATATCGCGTCGATCCACAAATACCAGTCAAATTCCTCGAAGCGCTTGAGAGCACCGAATAAGTTTGGTTGGACGTAGAATCTATCACCGTTCACCAATATGCATGAGTTGCGGTCAGCACGCTTGCCGAGTCCCTCCACTGGTGCACCCCATGTATAAGAGAGTGCGTGGTAGCCAAGTGCCTTTGCCTCATCTAGAGAATGGGTGGTCACGTCGATGTTTAACCTCTCCGTTAAGAGACTGCGTGTTCGCGGACGGATTTTTACTAGACGAATATGTGTCGAGTCGAGTGTTGATTCATATTTGTACTTGGTACTAAATGTACTGCTCCTGCGGAGAGTTGTCCACGACGAGGAGCGCATTCTTGGAGGACGTACTTAAGATTGTAACCTTGGCTTGTGGAGTTGATTTCTTGGCTGTATAACTACAAAAGAATGATCTCGCAGATAAATGTTGAGACTGCGAAATTCATTTTGAAACCCCCCTTTTCTCTGCATGGATTTGTAGTGTCTAATTGGTTCGCTGTTACCGCGCGCTTAGATTTCGCAGAACCAACACATTTGAAGCTATAACCACTTTAACCGCCATCCATGACAGGCTAGCCTAATACTGGCAGAATCCGATCGCAGGATCACATAAAAGCCACAGTCTCTTAGAAGCCAAGTCCATACCTTTTGATTCAATTGAAAATTGAGACTTATTGGCCCAATATCAAATCTGTTTCTTGAGGTTGGTGCGGTTCAACTTGGCCCTCTGAGCTAGCATATGCCCAAAGAGGATGTAAAATGCTATTGTATGATGTCAGTATAGGAATAATACGCAAATTTCCGTCGCTCACGTACCTGGAACGTAGATAGCTAATCCAAACCAAAGCAGATACTGATACGCTGGGTTTCGAGCTTGGGATGGCTGGATGACTTCGTACACAAGTTTCATCTCTGAGAGAATACCAATAGGGTAAAGAACAAGGAACATGTTGTATCTGTCATGAGTCAGTCTCTTTCTCTTATCACATCTAGTCATGCTTCTCACCTCAGCCATGTCAAACCACCTGGCACATATCCCGCCCCGGTCTGAAGAGTAAAGTAAAAGTATCGAATTGCATCAGCCGCATTCCAAGCCATGAGCATAAGACTGTACGCAGTCTCCCTAAAGCCAACCTCTGGGTAATTCCTTGTAATAGCCCAAACAATGGTGTTTCGACCAGCTACTTGCAGGGCAGTTGTAGCGGGAGCTGCTCGGACAAGACCAGTGACAGCGTGGATAATTTCCATTACAGTAAAAGTCTCAGTCCATCGTGCTGTGATGTTGAGTTCGTCCCACACAGCGCCATTGCCTTGGGTTAACCACAGATGTGTCGTTCTGAGCAAGAGGGCTGTTCGAAGAATGGCTGAGAGGGTGTTGTAAAGGAATAAATAAGTGGATGGCTTAGGCTTCGAATCAGAAGTTGATCGCGCCATCTTTGCTATAGATAAGGAAGTCTGAAAGTGTGAGATCGTAGATTCAGATACGGAGCAGCAGTCTTATGGAAAATTCCACGACACGCTAGGAAGCCCACTAAGGCAAATTGAGTTATACCGAGGCTGACGCTTGAGAACTTCCAAATCGAGATGCTGCGCCGGATATTAACTGGGGACAAGACCATCATAGGTACAAAAGCTCAAGTACATTTATATCTCTGTGTCAGGGAGACAGGAGAGCTCTGAGATCTATCCTACAAGAGAAAAATATTAGATAATTTTGGATAGACCTGGGCAAGTTTAGCTGAGATTTGGTGGACGGACCTTAAAGCAGGTACTGTTTCCCAACCCGAGCCTCTCAGGCCTATTAGGATAAATTTAGATACAAAGTTTGACAGATATAGAAATAATTTGAAGTGCTTGAGCTCTTAAGAAATATACCTCTTCCTACTCCCTGTAAGTAATCTGTATTATCCTATGGTTACTGAGATTTACAACCTGAGGGAAGAAGTCTGTATGGACGGTGTTGAACTTGGTAACGAGAGGGAGGACTTTGTATGTGGCGGGCGTTGGTAGCCGACGTGACTTGAGATTGTATGGATTGCCATGCTTTCATCCGCTTCCGGGCCGTCCTAAGCATTGGTCTGGACCAACCACAGTAGTGTTTGAAGGCAGCATGCATATTTGCGTACGGAGAGATAACTCGCATTGACGATAGGGGCATAGCAAGCGGGAAGTCTATTGCTGTTGGCCGTTTGGTGTAACCTCATGCTGGACGGCCAACAGCATACTGTGAGTTGTCTCAAAAGGGTCAATCCAGACGCTTGTAAACAACCAAGCGCAAATGATGTTTGGTGTTGCTCGGGAGTATTACAACGACCTGATCTCTGTTCAACTGCCTGTATTGATTCTCTACCGTGCCTCATCCTATTTCATGCTTAATTCTGCACATCGGCCTTCATTCTTCACTACTTGACCTCACTCGTAACATCTGTCTTCATTCCGAAGCTTCTGGTTCTCATACTCCACTATCGCTTCTAGGAACCACTTGCCCTCAACAAGATGGCGTCTGTTCTCAAGCGCCCGGCTTTGGGGCAACTCGCTGGTTTGGGAAGTCTCTACGATGCCCGTAGTGACGCCTTCGTTCGGTTGTCCATGTTCGACGAATCTCTTCCTCCCAACACTGTCGAGACTACAGAAAACCGGACTTCAAACCTCAAATTTATCTTTGATGATACGCTAAAGGGCAAGTTCGATGCTTACGGCGTAAGCGATGAATTGGGAGTCAGCATATTAGCTGGACTTGTAAAGACAGAGGGATCTGGCCTCTATATATCCGACAAACGCGACACGAACCATGCCACGCAGTGCTCTCTATTTTACGATGTCACGACTGTAGAAGAGAAGCTCAATCTCACTTCAAGTGACGTCAAGAAATGCGTCGAACTACGCGAACTGGACGCTGATGTCGCTACTCACGTGGTGACTGGTATCAGTTGGGGTCAAAGCTATGTGTTTACCACTAAACAGCCACTGCACCCTCCTGAAAACAGCGGCAATGTTTCGAGAAAATTAGCAGCAACCCTCACTCTGATCGAAGAACAGTTACTCGGACATGGTACCCATATTTGTCTTGAGGACTCTGCGGAGCTAAGCATCTTTGGAGATAACCTTGGCACAGTTCCCAACTTCCCATCCTTACCGACTTGGCCGGCGCCCAGAAACTTATCGGGGAGATGCCTGGTGACGGAAAGGGATGACCACTTATCTACCACCTAATGCCACTTTCTTTCCTTGCAGAGTTTCGGATACTTGATATCAAGACTGACATCACCTACCGTCAGTTGGGGGCCGACTGCGCCAAAGAATGCGTGCAGTTGTTTGACGATATCCAAGTTGTAATCCAGCAACTTAATGACTATATCATCGGATTGAAGAACCACCCTTCCGGCTTTCCGCCTGGACATGCTGAATCGACAGCACAACTTTTTGTCAAGTACAAAAGTCTTGGAGACCTACCACAGATCGAGTTCGCAAGCTTGGTTAAGGACGCTCGAGGTTGCATGGCGAGTGACCAGGATCTTTTAAGTCGACTCACAGAACTTTGGGGCGATAATTTGCCTCAAAGCGTTCTGCCCGCCATGACATACAAAGAGTCTATGAATTTCCAAGATCTTCTCATAGACGAATGAGCCAGCATCGTCGGCTTTAAGGGTCCGTCTTTGTCTGCTTTGTTACATGGAAATCAACACGATGACGCCTATGTTCTTTACTATAATGAACATGTCCGCCACTATTCTGACTCATGGAAAGAGAATATTGCAGTATTCCTTGACATCCAGGGACCAGCCTCAACACAAACTAGCAATTGCCGTCGACCAGGATGCAGTTGACCTTGATACTCACGGCACTTCGCTAGAGAAGGCCTATATCTCACATTTGCGCGAAGGGCGGGTTATCAGCGAAGATCTTGTTGAGAAACGCAAGCTCTTAGCTGTCAACTGTGCAATGCGGGTAGCTGAGGACGCTCTGGACCGTTCCGTGAACAGCAAACCTCTTGATAGAAGAGCAGTCAAGATTCCTTGTCCGAACCCCGGGTGCGACCGGTCACTACAATGCAGCTGGATCTGTGAATCTTGCCATTCGACGATCGAGTATGGTGTCGTTGATAGTCTTCTCTACTGTGGTTGCGGAGCCAGCAGTTGCGATAAATGGGAATTCCAGTGCAACGATCCCAACCACGGCTCAGACTGGAATCAGTACGAAAGCGAGGAGCTTCTCCAAAAGCTCAAAGCGCTAGAACCGTTCAAAGATCTCAATATCCTGTTATTAGGCGAGACAGGCGTTGGAAAATCCACGTGGATTAACGCATTCACCAATTATCTCACCTACGACTTCATTGACGATGCGTTAGACGCCGAAAACATAAAGTGTGTCATTCCGTGCTCTTTCCAAACACAGACGGTTATTGACGTTAAGTCTATCGAAACGGAGATTAGGATTGGCTCGAGTCAATCAGAGAAGGATGGCTCTGGAGGACAATCGGCCACGCAGTCAACCGAAGTGTATACCGTTGACATCGGTCAGACGCGTGTTCGACTCATAGACACACCTGGCATCGGAGACACTCGTGGTGTTGACCAGGATAACTCCAACATGAACGATATCTTAACAGTCCTTCACACTTACAACAACCTCCATGGGAGTCTCATTCTTTTGAAATCGAATGCTGCTCGATTGACCGTCATGTTCCGATTCTGTGTCAAGCAGCTTCTAACACACCTCCATCAAACGCGGCAAGAAACATCATGTTCGGGTTCACGAATACTCGTGGCTCCAACTGTATGCCGGGGGACACCTTCAAGCCCCTCAACGCCTTGTCATCCGAGTACAAAGAAGTCGAAATAGGCTTGCCGGAGAGGAATGTGTCTTGTTTCGATTCAGAAAGCTTCCGGTACCTTGCCGCGAAGAAGAAAGGTGTCGATATGGGACACCTAGATAACAACCGTAGGAGTTGGGAATACTCAGTTGGGGAGTGTGAGCGGCTCGTGATGCACTGTCAGAGCATCACTCCCCACAGAGTTCGCAGCACGATCAATCTAAATGAGACTAGATCCACAATCTACCGTCTCACAGAACCTATGGCTTTCATCTCCGAGAAGATCAGCGCAAGCAGCGACGTAAATAATGTTGCCATCAAGGAGCTTCATGACTTCGAACTCACGCGCCAAGAGCTCCAGGAGCGTCTCTTCATACATGTAGAAACGCTCAGGTCTGAAAAGGTCGACAAGCCTCGAACAGTCTGTACACACGATGAATGTGTGGAAATTTGCACCGATTTCGAAGGCAAAACAGACACTGCCACCACGATCTTCAAGACCGTGTGCCATCCAGGCTGCTCCCTCAACAGCGTCGATCGAAACAAGAAGGGTCACCCGGAGTTGCAGAGGTGCTGGGCAATGGCAGCAGACGGCATGTGTCATCAGTGTGGTCATTGTTGGATGGATCATATGCACATCTACTACACATATGTGCCAACGACCTATCAGCACCGAGATGCGGCGATAGACAGGGACCTGACGGAAAATGCCGGCATCATACAACTCAAAGAGGAGGCTATCCGGATGAAGAGGGAGGCAATACAGGAATTTAGTCTGGAATATCGACAGATTGAAGAGGCTGCCATCCAATTTGGCTTTTTCCTCAAGAGGCATGCAATCGCTCCATACAACGACGCTATTGTCGAGTACCTTGATATGCTTATCGACCAGGAGCGACAGAAGATGTAAGTCGGTGGATCAGAGCATTGCCATAAGAAACTCTAAAATCAAAAAGCCGGTTATCTTTAGAGAGTGGAAGTGCTTGAGAAAGCCATGAAGCAGGGCGACGAGTCCAAACTTCTGGATAACAAGGGTGTGGCGCAGCTGGTCGACAGCCTTTACGCACTGCCTCACTTTGGAAATGACCTCCGAAACATCGTCAAGATACAGGAGAGCGCCGCTGAGCTTTCGTATCGAGAGCGGTCCTATAATGTCTCAGGTGGAGTTGGCTTTCATCGTCGACGACGAGCGAACCGGGCTCAGAAGGAGGAAGCTGGAAATGCAGATCGTTTCCTGGGGAGCTTGATAGAGGAGGCCAACCTGGGGGGCGCGTAGTGGTCGTGCCTAGACCATCTCGCACGCGGGGACTCTGGAAAAGTTTCACGAACCTTTTCTAGGGCTGTTAAAGACGCCTTGCAAACTGGGGGCCGGCGAACCTAGATGTCCGCGGTACTGATCGTAGATGGCAAGCAAACTGGATACAAATACTAGCGTTGATTAGCTACTGATTGACTCGTACTTAATTTGGCCTGGTGTGAATCACACATTTCACTTGGGGGTTTTGGTCAATCTATCCCAGTAATTTCGATAGGAGTTATCATGAATTCATCCCTCGTACCTCGTTCTCGACCACGGTGCTACTCTGCAGGGCCAACTATAAACCTAAGCTCCGCGATGAATCTCCCACTCTCCATGATAACATCGCCTCTGTGCTCGATGTATTTCCCAGCTGAGTCAATAAGACCATACACTTTCATCTTCTCCGGAACTTGAAATGTTTGCTTTTCAGCATTTCCTTTAATCTGACCACCACCACTACCAAAAGGCCCTAGCTTTCTCTCCGTGGTGTTGATGACCAAGTTGAATATGACTTTCTTGGTAACATCGTGAGCCAAAACTCCTGTATTCCATGACGCTCCCGTGATAACTTCATCATCGTCTAGAAAACTCGACTTCTTGCTGTGGCCAAAGCCTCCAAAGTGAATACCGTCATAAGCTGCCGTCTCAGCATGAAGAGAGTCCACTGCGAAATTGTAGGAGACGTCGAGTCTGATGATGTTTGAAGGCGCTGCTTTCCGCAGTTCGAAAGAATGATTCGTGAGATCAGGGTCGTCGCCCATGTATTTCTTTTGGTAGATCCTGTCATAGTCTCCAGTCCATTCCAAAGCCTGATCGGCAACACTGTCGAACGTCTTGATCAAGGACTCACTGGTCGCGATGAACTCTTTGACGATGTCAAATGACCTTATGGTCGAAGGATCCCCAGCGTATTTGTTCGCCTTGCTTGTAAGCTTAGAGACTGCGTCGAAGATCGCTTTCATCATAATCGAATGCGCACATGCGTCTAGTCGCATCGCCGCGAGCTTGTGAATTGTTTCCGTAGAGTCTTCGTAAGGCAATTCACCACACGATAGCTCAAGTTCAATAATAGGAACATTGCAATTTCCCTTACTTTGTAGAAACCGGCTCATACGAGCCCACGGAAGTCCCCGAGATGATTGATGTTCTCTGGAAAGACGAAATAGTGAGGCGACGGGCATGCGAACATTGACGGGGTAGCCATCGGCCGCGATCCCAAGTGTACAACCGACATAGTATAAGAGTTTCGATGCGCCAGCAAATTCATGACCAAGTCCAATAAGTGAGGCTAGAAAGAACCACTGTGCGAATGATAGAGACTTGCCAACGCTCTTGGGGCCGTGATATTCGAAACCTCCATCGAAGATAATGTTTTTGAAATCGCCAGATAAGCCGAGAACCTCATCCCATGTTTTACCCTGAGCAGTGGCAATGGTTGAGACGGCTCTGAATAGTTCTTTTGTTCTCGCCTCGCAGGCTGTAGCATGCATATTATGCTGCTCATAGTAGGACTGGCACTGTTTTGTCAACCCAGTATATCGTTGACCACGCTCGAATGTGCCCATCTTCATTTTGTGATTGTGACCTCTCAGAGTGAGAAGTAAAGGGAAACAGCGCTGTTATACCAATTACGGCCAATATTTGAGTTCTTGTTCTTTCCTTGGTCTCTCTATCTCGGCAGAATCTGCCTAACTCAGCCGCAGCTGAAAGCGACCAGCCCTAGCAGTTGAACTATGGCTTTTTGTCATGGATGTAATTGGTGAAGCTTTCGCTAAGAGCATCAGCGAGTACCCCTCATTTTCTGCTGTGGTTACGAAAAGTAGACCTTGAGCCAGCATTATTCATCAAGTTGTTGAAGATTTCAAATATACATGATTACTGAAGAAGAAAGCTTTACCTTATAAGCTGTAGTTATCCCCAAGTAAAAAATTAAGTTATAATGTAGCGAAAGATCGATCAAGTTGTTTTATTACAATATCCGACCATAGCGATGGGCAGTTCCACGGGGCGTTTTTTCTGGTTCACATTTGCGACCCTTCATAAAATGCTCCGGACTCGTAGTTATCTCCCAGTCTCCCCATTTCTTCTCCTCATCGCGACCAAGCAGAGTAACCACCATCTTCTCCCTCTGCTTGCTCATCGCACGCATTGACTTCATGAACTCCTTGTTGTTCTCGTCATTCGTGATAACAATCTGCTTGAGACCAGGAGCCCACTCTGGATGTTCACAAATCTCATCGAAAGCTTTTGCAGTGATCTTAGTTAAGGTGTATGAGTTGGTGCTGGACGGGGTGATCTCGAGAAGTCTGAGGTCTGGGCAGTTGGAGATCAGGCCGAGGAAACCCGCGTCGCCGACTTGATTTGCACTGGGGAGACTGACGGTCCTGAGGTTGGGCAGACCTTTAGCTAGACGAATGACGGCTTCGTTGGTGAGATCCCTGGCACCGTTCTTTGCAGTGTAGCTGACGTCGCTGAAATCAAAAATGAATTGCCAGATCTTTTCGCGAACTTGACGTGACAAGACCAAGATGTCGTCGATATGGTCACTAATGATGTCACGTTAACACTCTTCTCGCCTTGGAATGGAGGCATTGGCTTACTCAGTCAAGACAAATGTATAGCCGAAGTAAATCATTCTGGTTGATGTTCCAATGAGGTTATGATATTTGCCGTCCCAGTCAGTTACGCTGCTGTTGAAGCGGGCATCTTTGACGCCTTTGACGACGGGCTTCAGCAGCCGTTTCTTTGGCGCGTCGGTGCCGGGGGCTGGGGCATCAGCGGCTGAGTTGCTCTTCTCAGTTCGGATGGGAGGCATGATGAATAATATGTGGAATGCAATGCCTGTTATAGAGACTAGGAGCGCTAGATCATAGAGTAGAGGTACTAATAGGTAGAGCACTGTCGGCAAGGTATGGAGGTTTAATTGAGTGTCAGGGGGAAGTCTGGGCGCGACACGACACGAAGGTGGGGAACCACTTTAGGTGGCTGGCTTTGTCATATCTAAGTTAATCTGCCAATCTGAAAACTCAGATTCATAGTCACGATAGCAAAGAACATCACCTTGATGATTTATCAAGTGTTATGACGTCCGTATGACTTCTTATGATGTAGAGATACACGAAACTGAACAATGGAACAGAGATAAGGTAAGAATCCAAGCCTAGCAATGGAAACCTCTCAGTAAGTGTAGTGGAATCTCGGGTTATGCTCTCCAAGCTCCTCAGCTTCCTCCTCAGTCAGGCCCTGAATTCTGTGATCCTCCTTGCCCTCAATCTTTCTCTGATTCTGACGACGGAACCAAGCCCAGAATGCCATGTAGATCAGTGAAGACATGGCGACCAAGGCCATGGAAATGGCGTGACCCTTGACGAATCGGGGACCCTCGTGAGTTTTGTACAACTAATCTCGTGTTAGCTAAGACTCTTGGTACGGAAGAGGCTGCACTTACAAAGGGAGCTGGGATTCCAGCCGAGTTACCAATGGTGAGTTGCAGACCAGTAGCGACAGTACGCTTTCCATAGCGAGGATTGTTGCTAGGAAGCCAAGCAAGAGGTAAACCGACGATGACATATAGTCCCATGGCGGCGAGGAAGCAACCGAAGTATCGAACTCCAGATGGAGCTGGGCTGACTAGAAGAGCGTATCCAACGGCACAGACAAGGCCAAGAATGACAGTGAAAACAGCTCGTCGTTGAGTGCGATCAGAGAACCATGCCACAACTAGGTATGTAATAGCACCCATAGCGTAGCAAGGGATCGTGAGAGCCTGGACCTGAGCCGTGTTCCAGTCTCCCAATCCTCGAATAATGGTTGGTAAAAAGGTGCTGTAACCGTAGAGAATAGTATCTCCTCCAAACTGACCAATGCAGAAAAGCCAGATCTTCCAGTCCTTGAGACCAGCGTAAACATCGGCCTTGTGCATCTGATCCGAAGATTTGGTATGTCCGATTTGTCGCCGCATGCGCGCATCGATGAGTTCGCGTTCGTTGATGGTAAGGTAATGAGCTGAATCAGGATCATCTGCAAGCCAGAACCAAACAGCGATTCCTAGGATGAATGTTGGAATTCCTTCGATGATGATAATCCATCGCCAGCCTCGTAATCCCGCAACGCCGTCCATGTGACCGATACCGTAAGCGAGAAGCCCACCGAGGGAACCTGCTATGGCGGCACTGACGAAGAGGTAGCCGATTCGGAGAGCATATTCGCGCTTGGTGTAAAACATGGTAAGGTAAATCGTAAGACCGGGAAAAAGACCGCCTTCAAGAGCGCCGAGAATAACACGGCATGCGACCAGGCCTTTGAAATCTTGTACGATACCGGTGAGTGTGGCGACGATGCCCCAAGCTGTAGTGATGAAGGCGATCCATCGCGAGGGTCTGAATTTCTTGATGACGAGGTTTGATGGAAGCTCAGAAGCGATGTACGTGACGAACAGAACTGAAACTGCAAGTTGATACTGCATCTGTTAGGATAGTGATCAAATCTTCATCGGTGGATACTCACCTGATCGCCCACCAAGCCTAGATCCTCTTCCATACCATAGAGTCGCGCATTACCGATATTCACACGATCCAAAAAACTGAGAAGGTAGAGCAGCATCACAGGCGGAACAATCCACATATCAAGCTTCCTCAAAAGCGCCTTCTCAGCAACAGGATCGATGTAAATCTCATCTTGGACAGTGCGCTGCTCCTCAATCTCCTTGTCAGGAAGGATATCCGGCTTTGAAGTCATAGTGGCGAGTCTCGTATTTCCTCTAATCAAGATGAGATGGTGATGGAGAGAAGTTGAGTGAGTGACGGGACCCAGTCGATTTAAGAACGACGCGTCTTATCTCCGCACGGGAGGTTTAGCCCGGATCTTGGAGAGGGATTTGTATTTGGTAACGAGAACTATCTTCGTGCTGTAACCCCAGAATCATCGCGGCAGGGATTTGGGGCCGGGGATCGCTGGTTGACCTGCCTGTCTTGGTGGAGCTGGCGTCGGTTTGTGAGGGGTTTGCCGATGGGGACATGATTCAGGACCGGCAATTTTTGACTTGCCGGGCTGCTTCTAGAACTAGTCTAGATGCCGTGAGACGTCATTTTGCTCAGCTCGGCTGTTGAGAAGTTACCTTGTGCTACTGGTAGCGACTCACATTCTCTTTCATTTATCGCCGTCAGTACGATATTGGTTGATTGATTGATGAGACTCGCGTATTTCGAGCTGCCAGCAACGCCTCAGTCTGTTTATCTCCGGCACCACTTTATCTTATCCTGCTATCTAGGCTTGAGCTATCTTCTGCGGTTCCACAGTAAATGCATGGAACAATCATGGAACGTTAATGATCGACGTCTGGGCTGCGCTATCATCGGAAGATAAGATATCACGCATTCACACGACCGACCCTCTTCAAGTTTCTGTCGCATTCAAATACACGGTTTCCATTTTCATCTGATATTTAAGAGCTATAATGTCATTGCACTGGTCTCTAAAACGTGGCCGGATACCCTGAGTTGAGAGTTAAAAGATAAGCTTTTGGCCACGGGTCTCAGCAAAAAAACCACCCATCTTTCCTGGTAAGAAATTTCAAGATATAGAGTTTCTTCTCTTATACACAGCACTTTGCCATTGGCCTTTCTCTGGCCTCCCACTGAGCCATGCCTGGGGTCACGAGTGGGCCACCATGCTGTCTCTAGAAATAAAAAACTAAGCATATGTATCTCAAATGGTACTGGCTATAGTATTTGAGACGCCATATCCTCTAGTATTAAAGTACCGTCATAAGCTTTGGAGTAGCCAAAAGTCTGCCCTAATTCATCAGTGGCGCAAACCAACAAAGCTATACACGAACCGTGTTAGATTTGAAGAAGTAACTTCTGGGGGAGTGACTCACAGGTTCGAAGACTGGGTATAAATACCGTCCCCCACATCGGACAAAAAGATATAATTTATACTCGAACCCTCTTAGCAGCCGGACTGTGTTGTGGTACAAGAACAGTGATGAAATCTTCCACGAAGTGACAAAGTTTGTCATTCGGGTCTATGCTAGACTGGAAAGATGATGGATTAGATCTGAGTTCTTGATACCTGCCCTCTGCTGTCGCATGATGCTACATTAGTATCGTGGCTTCAAACGACCTGGCTAAGAGAGATACACCATTCAAAAACAGAAGTATCATCGCAGAACTTGTGTCAAGGGTGATGATGAGCCACCGGGACTATCAGCAGATGAAGTTTCGAGTGAGATTGGACGAGGGTCAGCTCGCAAAGTTATCCTCTCCTTTTCCGTGCAGAGAAAGAATCCTGGCTCGGCAATGTCTGTCTTGCCGTACGGAAAGCTAAGCATGTCACTCACTAATCCAGGGAGCCAGTGTCGAATGGCAACCTTGGAAGCCCAGAGCTAATGTGCGCGTCCTGAAACAAAGGATCTGTCTAAGCTGGTACTGGTTTAGTGAAGGGCAACCTTTAATTATCCTGCGGTACAGTAGGAGACAAGGATTTTGGACTACAAGAAGAATATATCCTATACCGCGTTGAAATTAATTTGTTTAAGCCACAACTGGTCACGACGCGCCCCCTTTCTCATTGTCCCCATTTACTTCGCCCCATGCTTTAGCGATCTTGTGCTTCCTTTCATCGAGCAAAGACTGATCCCGAGTGACATATCTGTTCCTGCCTGGCATCCTGGAGTCCGTGAAGTCCCGGATTGCCTGGAATGAACGGCAGACATGGCGTTGATCTGAGTCGATATAATTGTGTTCAAGACCTTCCATGAACCTTGTGGGTATCAGAGTTGTACTTCCATAGCATTGGACTGTTTGGCGGAGTATTTCTATGCAGTGCTCTTGCGATAAAAGTTAGTTAGCAGCCACTAAGGGGATTGTGTCGCGTATTGAGATACTTGCCATTGTGAAACGATCCATGAAGTGTGTGAGACTTCGGTGGATAGTATTCGGGACGCAACGCCTTGCGAAGTTCGTTCTGTTTCATCAATACTAATTCTGATAATCAATGCGGGGCTCAAGGCCTTACAATGCAGTGTAACGTATGGAACATGTCGAACCTGACAACCATAGGTTTAGTGACGATCAAGACTCGGCGATAGTTCATACCCAGCTGTATAGCCTCCCATGTTCTGATCTACAAATTCATGTCGCTTATCTCCCCAAGCTCTTCTGGCCTCTTCTTCCGAGATTGAAAAGTAGCGTTTACCAATGAGCCTCTGCCAGTTCTCATCGATCTCACGACTTGGTCCACCGACATATCGTACATTTTCTGGCCATGGTGCTGCTTCGTCTGTATCTCTTATCCAGGGTGTACCATTGGTGTAAAAGTGCGGACTGCCCTGAAATTGTATTTTCTTCAGTGGAATTTGTATTGGTAAAGCTGATGAGTGAGGTCAGTGCCTTGGCTGAGAAGCTTATGTTGAGACTGACTCACCGAAATCGGTCTTGAAGTATGTTTCATACGTTCCAAAGTGAGATTGAGCACGTAGGTTTGCAGCGAGAATGACTGTTAAGATTGCAAATATCCCTGTGAGCGCCCACGGTAGTATGTAAACGATAAAATATGAGAGGTTCCGTCTTTGGAGCTCCCTCGACCTAGCTTCAGTAGTTTCTGACTCTGAAGAACCCTCATCATCCAGTGAGTATGTCTCTTTGCTTTCAATGGGGGCATATTCCCTCTCTGATGGTCGTGTTGAGTGATGCATCAATGGAGTTCGTTCAAGGGGAAGTCAATATCGGGCTGTTCATGAGGTACTCGGTTGGCTCTTCCAGGACTTCATAAAGTAGTCTCGAGGAAATCGACCTGGGGGAGAGGTGAATCCCCGAACGCTTGGTGTAGTGTGATAAACTTTACAACAATGTATCCAATTGGTCATCAATCTTTAGAGGCCCAGATTGTGTGATCATCCTACCAGCGTGCATAAGAGCCCTTTGGCCCCCACGGCAGAATTATAAAGACCCTCGGCAAGAACGGCACTTGAAAGTACAGACACAACAGCGAATACTCTGGAGATTTCATAATGACTTCCCAACAAAAGATCCCTGCTCCTCCATCCTTCGAAAATCTCACTCCCGATGCGGTACTAGCCGAGACCGAAAAGATCCTTACCACAACCTCAGGTCTGCATGACGATCTCGCCGCTACATTCACACCCTCAACCGCAACCTTCAACAATATTATCTGCCCCATCGCGGATGATACCAACCGCGCCACATGCCGCTTGCGCATTCTTACGACGATACTCGGACAGTTATCACCAGACAAGGAACTCCGTGATGCCGCCCGTCAAGCAGAAACACGTGTCGCAGCAGCTCAAGTCAAGATCCTAATGCGACATGACATTGCATCCCTAGTGGGAGCGATATACGAGAGAGGAAAGACGGCACAGGATGGGAACCTGGACGGGCAAGATCGACATTTGCTTGCTCGCATGCACGGCGAGTATCTACGTTCTGGGTCGTTTTTACGAGGCGACAAAAAGAGAGAAGTGCTCCGGGCCGCTCTGGAGGCGATTGATCAGGTGCGATCTGCCGCACAAACTGCCTTTACAGAGGAAAACGATGGTATCTGGTTTGACCGTGCAGATTTGGCGGGCGTTCCGGAAACTTTGCTTGCATCCATGCCCCAACAAGGAACTCAGATACAAGCGACGTTCCGAAGTGCTCATGTCATAGCAGTAATGCGTCACGCAGTCAGCAGCGAGACTCGTCGCCGGTTCGCAAATGCTGATCAAAACCGTCTCCCCGAAAACGTGCCCCGCCTAGCTTCTCTAGTCGCTTTACGTGATAAGGTTGCTCGTCTCCTGGGGTTTGAACACCACGCGGCTCTCAGGATCGTGGACAAGATGGCTCCAAGCGTTGACTACGTTGAGGCTCAGTTACATGATCTCCACAGCAGGCTAAAGCCACTTGCACAGACTGAGACTGCTAGGTTGATGCAGCTTAAGAAAAGGGATTGTAAAGAGCCTGTCAGTGAGCTATACTCGTGGGAAAGGGCGTATTATCTCCACAAGCAAACCCTGGAGAGTTTCTTGGTGGACAATGAGCTCCTTGCCGAGTACTTTGAAGCCAATCACACTCTGCAGGGGATGCTTGACGTATTCCACGAGCTGTTTTGCATCGACTTTAAGTCTATCGTGACTTCAGTATGGCAAGAGAATGTCGTGGTATATGAAGTCTGGGACGCCCCCAGGGAGGGAGGTCAGTTTCTGGGACACTTATACGTAGATCTCTTTGATAGAGAGGGTAAATATCGCGGTGCACACCACGTTCTGATCCAGCCGGTATGTTTATTTGCAACATTGGTATATGCATATGAAACTAACTACCAGTTCAGGGTTTCATCGAAGCGAACGGCGATAAACACTACCCGGCGTCGGCGCTGGTGTGTAGCTTCGCTCGTCCATCACTATCTCGTCCAACCCGACTCCAGCACAGCGAAGTAAAGACCATGTTTCATGAGCTTGGACACGCTATTCACAACATCGTTGCCAGAACCAAGTATGCTATTCCTCACTCGCGAGACTTTATCGAAATCCCAAGTATCATGCTTGAGAACTGGATATGGCTCCCAGACGTGTTGATTCGACTTAGTAGTCATTTCAAGAGCCGAAAGGCCTTGCCTCGGGAACTAGCAGAGAGCGTTGCAAGAATAAGAAACATAAATAGGGCGAACGACATCCTGGCACAAGTGCAACCAGCTCTCTTTGACCTGGCGATTCATACGCCTCTAACTCATAAAGAAGCGCTTGAGATGGATACAACTGAGGTGTGGAACAGAACAAAGAAAGATATCCTCACACATAGCTTTGGACCAAACCCACAGGATTGGGGAGCTGGACAGGCGAGGTTTGCGCATATGTTTCGCAAGAATGATGGTAGTTATTTTGCGTATCCACTATCAATGGTCATTGCGGCAGACATCTTTGGGTCTAAATTTGCAAAAGACCCTCTGAGTCCTGAGATGGGGAGAAAATGTAGATATCAAGTCCTGGAACCAGGTTCAAGTCGTCCCGAGATTGATATTCTGAAGGACTTCTTGGGGCGAGAACCAAGTAGTAAGACTATTCTAGACGAGCTCTGCCATGATAATGAAGGTTGAAACATGCTGATTCACGATTTATAACCATTAATTGTCTTGTTCATGGGGTTCCATGATTGCTTGTATAAGCAAGATTGAAGTTTGGGGGCTTTACTTGGTACCTTCACCAGACAGACCCCAATCATGCTAACGAACTGATAGGAGCACTAACCCTGTTTATATACTAGAATTCCCCACATGTCACGGCCACCTTTTAAACCCCAAGTAAATTATTCCTTCAACGCCTTATTGTTCAGATTTTATAAGCAAAATCTTAAATCATGACCAGTGGTATGTTACTCGGCGAGCCAGAGCCTAAACCAGCCATGAAGTCCCCCAGAGGCAACGCCAGGCTGTTTCATCTCATCAACCACGCTCGAAACATCGGCATTTTCCTTCTGCCAAGCTTCATAGCTGAAAGTCAAACCTCCAGAGATAATATTCAGGCACGGCCATCGTCCTCTCCAACACTCTATCTAGATGGACTGCATGGACTCTTCTCTTTTCTTGTCTTCCTTCGTCACTTTCTCTTACCATGGGAAGAAGGTCTCGACACAGGCTTTGGTCAAAACGGCAACATGTCTCTTACGAAGCTGCCCATAATTCGACTTATTTATGGCGGGCCTACTGTGCCCATCTTCTTCATCGTATCCGGATTTGTACTCGCCTACAAGCCACTGAAACTCATCCACAAGAAAGACTACAGTACCCTAGGGCTATATACCATGTCCTCAGTACTACGCCGGCTATTTCGACTGTTTTTACCCTCTCTGGTATCAACTTTCATTGTAGCCATCGCAGTAAGTGCTGGACTTTACACGGCTCCGTACCAAGATATGCCGGGTTCGGTGCCCAGGCATCCAGAGCGACTCGGATCATTGTGGGCGCAGATTTGGGACTGGATGCGTTTTGTGGTGGTTGATATGACCCATCCGTGGAGTTGGAAGTCGCCAAAGTCAGAATATGACAGTCATCTATGGACGATACCGATTCAATTTCGCGCCTCCATGATTATCTATCTCACACTTCTCGCCTTGGCAAGAGCCCGTGTCTGGGTTAGAGGTACAGCACTCGTCTTCCTATGTCTATATTCGCTTCAGCAGGGAAGATGGGAGATGTATCTGTTTTTCGCCGGCGTCTTTCTCGCTGAGAGGAGCCTTGAGAGTCATGATAGTTTTGAGACTCAATCGAGCGATGGAGGTGAATCTGCCATTATTCGAAGTCCATTACGGTCCTCATTTTGGCCAGGAATCCTCCAAAAGCTGCTGTTCTTTGTTGGGCTGTATCTAAGCTCATACCCTCGAGCCAGAAATGCGGGATTCTCTACACCTGGGTATGTATTGCTATCATCACTGACAGATCGATCTATCTATTGGCGATCACATGGTGCAACCCTGATCTGCTGGTCTTTGAGTAGAGATAGACTGCTCCAGAAACCTTTCACATCACGTCCGCTTCGATACTTGGCAAAGATCTCATTTACGCTGTATCTAGTTCATGGTCCTGTTTTGCATATCTTTGGGTATTCTATGGTTCCTGCGTTTCAGGGTTTGACAGGCAGTTCTACTGCGTGGCAATATCAGTCCGGGCTGCTACTAGCTCTCGTAGTGTTGGCCCCTATGGTCGTGTGGATTGCAGACGTATTTTGGAGGGCGGTGGATAAACCCTGTTCTGTCTTGGTTGTTCACATCATAGAGCCATTTTTTGTCGACTAGAACAAATCGAGGTCTTGCCGATAAGTTACATGTCTAGCTTTCTCTTCCCCAATATGTATCAGGTCGTGGCACTCGCTTCCAAAGCTTCATTGGTGTTGCCGTCAGGCCTCCCCTGTCAGCTTCGGTTTCTGCCGCCGCTGACGTGCAGCTTACAGATAGAGCATTGCCATTTGAAGTAGCTATGATAGTGGATACAGTTGCCGCTTGATCCGTGACCTACGATCAGATAACATAAAAAAGCGCAAAGCGTGATCATCATCGGCTTGAGTTATGTACATAATTCCGCCCCCAAGACCTTGTATTATCTGGCGCTGGTGTTTCAGAGTCAGTGCGTTTCTCGTCCGCTTTAGGCCATTTAAGCGTCGTTGGATGAATGCTCTACATACCCTGTCAACTCTGCTGATCTCGCAGTGTTCATTGCATATGTGGAGAGAGACACTTACGGTAATGCTTACACGTCTATTGGCTTACACATAAGGGTTCATCCGAAACTCCTTAAGCACGTAATTCAAGTCAAATATCACACTATCTCTGATCTGTACCTGTTCAATAACGGTAACAAATAACCTCCGACTCAGTTGCCATTACTTCGTGGACCCGAACTAGTTCTGAGAGGTTACCCAATGAGATAACGTCGTCCAGACTGGATCCCGACAGGGAGTGGTTAGCATGTACCCTGATAGGTCTTGGTTCTGCTTTCGATATCCTGCTGCTGCCACAGCCACCACAGGCGATCTACCTGGGCGTGATGTAGATAAAACACAGGGTCTACAACAAGATTGTCAGAATAGCTACTGCACGGAAGACGCAATTGTGATCTTACCGTTTGGTGCGGTCAACCCGTAAAAGTCCCCTCGCACAAACTGAGGTATCGAGTTGTGAGCTTGAACTTCGAGCGCATCAACAAATTCTTCGTATGATTGGAGGCTCAGCACACTGTTGATAGCGTCCATCGTGACTCGATTCTCCAACTTGACCTTTTCCTCACCCCCTTGAAATCCTCGGCTGAGGCAGTGAGGATTCTTCAAGATATCGAATCCATGACCATTGGACTTTGACTGCCAGTGGCGGGTTGCATTCGCAAAGGGACCTTCAGTAACACAATGGCCCCCAAATATCTCGGGTAAAGAGTTTCTGTCTGTACCATTGCCACCGAAGCCATCTATAGGATCGAAGATCGGAGAGGCGACAAGGTCATGGGCGTCTAATGCCCAGTCCCAATACCTATACCAAAGAGGTTAGTCGATCTTCATGTGCGAGGGCCAAGAGGGATTTGTCGGACTTACGGCAAGGATCCGTGAAAATCGCACTCCTCTATTAATGCCTTTTCGTATATGTGGATAAAGTATCGGTGCCAGGGTAAGAATGAAGCGGCATAGTGAGTGACAGTGCCTTCGAAGACATGCATATATGCAAAGTCATCATAGCGACTACTCCCTCGCTCAAAGTGCGATTCTTTCTCAGTGAGACAGACAACAGCGCCGATGTAGTCTTTCCTCTGTGTTTTGTTCAGTTCCCTCCACTCCATTCGTCTCAACGGGTGTATACAATTTGTTGGAGCTGTCGTCAATGAGATTCCCCACGAGATGATGATGCCCAAGAATGAGACTGCAGCGAGGCAGATGCCGATGAGACAAGAGTTGTGCCTGGGACTATTCTGTTTTTGAGTATCTCTGTACTCAAGTTAGCAAATTGGTTAAATATATCTCAGGTGATCTGTGAAGTTTACTCTTGCTCGTGATTTGCCAGTGGTTGATATCTCCAATTTCGAGGCATGATTTGTGAAACCTTTTCGTAGAATGATACCATGATGTCTAAAATGGTATACAAGAGGGTTAGGCTCAGCAAAAATAAAAGAAACAGCGAGAACTGGAAATTGGGGTTTGTTCTACAAGTCGTTGAAGGACTCAAATAGGCATGGTTTTGATATCTCGCGCAATGGACGTAGCACTGAGTGCCAATTGCGGGCTGGTTAAATCGGCCTGGACTACCACCACATCGCTGATATCCTTGATATCTCCACCAAATCACTTCTCATAACGTGGCGATCAACAAATACATAGGCTAGAGGGGGGTGCGTCAAAACAAGCCAGGGTCTCCTCCCAGCTCGAATATTGGGGGCTTTACGATATGGCACAGATCAGCGACGGAAGCTTGATTTTTGCACCTGGATCTTCTAGGCAGCTTGTTTTCGACATGCTCTCCGAATTCCCCTCGCTTCCGCATCAACGTTCTCCTTACTACCAACAGCATCATGACATTCAACAAGGAGATGGAGCAAGACGCCTTGCTATCAGAAGAAGCGAATAGGTCTTCGTTCTCTGGATCAAATACTGAATCGCAAACGGAGGCGAATCATTTTCTACAATCAACCAAAAAGGCTGCTTGGTCAAAGCTGTTTCCATGGCAAGCCATTCTCGTACACACATGTGTCCTTGTGATGTATACCATACTGATACTACTCATCCCGGTTCCTCTTTGGAAATCTCATGAAAGAGAAGTGGCATATAGTAAGTCCTCAACTCAACTTCAAATCTGTATCTCACGCGCAGTTTTGTTAGTCCCCTTCAATCCTGGGCCGCACGCCCAGGTCTTCCAACATGAACACTCGGTCTATGTTGGCAAACCCTCATCTGGGCTTGATGAAGCTTGGAAGAAAATGCTAAAGAGTAACGAATCTTCACTGTTACTCCAATTGACCTTATTCAAGACTAACATATCATGAGACTCCAATATTCGTATTACGGAGGATGAAATGAGCAATATACCTGGCAGAAAGGCCCAAGCCATCAAGCTGCCTGATGGAGGTTATTTTGCGACACTCAACGTCTACCACAATCTTCACTGTATTGTATGCCTCTATCGTAAGATTTTGTCGCAAAGATTGGTCATTCCTGACACCAAGTTATTCACAGAAACGCCTTCATCATTATATGTATCCAGATTACTACTTCCCAAATATCTCAGAAGAACAAAAGAGAGCAAACGAGTACCATAACCGTGAGTCTACTTGCCATTCGCCTCATTCTCTTCCTAATAGAATACTAGATCATTGCCTAGATATGCTCCGGCAGAGCATTATGTGTCAAGGCGATATGCAGCTCCTGACGATGAAATGGCGGCAGGATGGTCGCATTCCAACTGCAAACTTCACATCACCTCATCAATGCGTTAACTGGGACAGATTGGAAGACTGGGCAACCAGTAGGAGGATTGTCAATCTCATGGAGCCTGGGTATCTGAACCATCCGACTTTAGGGCCAGCTTATCCTGAAGGTCATGGCGACTTGGTTGGGGAGTTTCTGGGTCATGGCAATGCATCCACGAATGAAGACCAAGTTGAATAGCTTCTCAAGATACATTCATGGCTTCAACTATTCATTAGAGGCGATACATTATTGTAAGCTGAGATCAACTCCCCCGCCCAACTCTCATGGTCGGCATTTACTAAGGGGAGGGACACGTCAGATGGCTATCTAGGTATCATAGATGCCGCATTGCCGAGATGTATACATGGGTTGTCCCCTAGCAGGTGCATGCACACGCCCAGCATGGATTCGGATCCCGCCCCCAACTTCCTCCATCCTCAACACTTGATATTCAACTACACCACAGCAGACTCGTATGCCGTTCCAGGAGATCTGCAAAGAGACCTTCCCAAGGGGTAATAAATGAAATATTTTCGTCGCTGCATGGTCAGTAATCTGCATTCCGTAACGCGCTCCGTATATCTGCCCCTTTGCGTGGTAAAGCAGCCGCATCTAATCACATAACATGAGAAGCATAAATAGTCTCAATGAGCCTTACACGATTTCAGTAACTATCATATTAAATTCTAATTCTATCCCGATCCTCAACTCAAACCTCAAAATGCGTTTCTTTTCCATCTTGTCCACCATGACCCTTGTGGCATCAGTCATGGGTGCCGCTATCCCTGCTCCCGTTGAGGAAAACAACATTGAGGTTAAACGTACAATACCCTCAAGAGCTGTCCTTTCGGATATAACTGTCTAATATGAGTTCTAGGTGCTAAGGCACACGAGGATGCTGGCCTACAGAAGCGTAAGTGCTTGTGACACTTAGATATATAGGATGCATACTAACTTGTTATGCAGGTGATGACGATGAAGGGTACGGTGATGGATGTGCTCGCAAGAGAGGCTGTTAATAGCATTTCCATGTTTCCACTGAGAATCATGATCAAGAGACCTTTCAATATACCCATAGCGTGGTGTTCTACATGTTCTACCTGAACAGAAATGGCTCTTCAATCTCAGAAGCAAATTCCCTTAACGTTCCATCCTCTGTGAATAAAACATCCAGCCACTGCACTTGATTCCCATCCAAGAAACTACCTATAAGAGGATTGCCCAGGATATCGACGTTCTCGTAGCCAACGATTGCAGACTCGTATACTCCAGATCCATTTTCCATACTCATTGGTGTTTGGAAAGGTTGGTCCTGAACTTGTGGGACTTCCTTTGGCAGGGAACTTGGTGTCTGTATAATCGGGGGTGGCCTATCAAAGCTCATGCCATCTAATCGGCCTGTGGCCCGTAGGTTCAACACACGGGCTTGGATGTCTGATAGTCTCTCGCAAAAGTCGACTGCCGGGATGTTTCCTTCGTTCTTGAGAGATCGTAAGACACTTAGTAAGGTCTCTAGATGATCTGAATTGACAGCTGTGGGTTTCATGACTGCTGACATGATAAGAATCATAGCTGCCGAGAATATGTGATGTGCGTCCCAAAACCCAAAGGTCGCGATGCTGCCATCTAAGAACAGGCCTTCCACGATACGACTTGACGCTTGTGCAGCATTTACACAGCTCTCTGCTAAAGCAAGAGTGATAGAAGAGACATTCTGTCGCGGCGATGCATCTTCTCTCACTTTACTCCCTAGTTGGAACTGGGTTTTGAAGAGATGGAGGAGGACAGGGCGAGTTGTTTGTATAATGCATTGATTGTACGCAAGGTGGAGACTTGCTACGGGCCGAGGAGTACCTCGCTCCTTTACTCGCAACTCCGGTTGTAGCTCGTCATGCCATTCTCGAAGTTGTTTCAAGATACCGTGGACTTGATGTATGTAAAGACCGTTCGTAGCTTTAGGTATGCCATAAATATGTGTCACTACGCCGATGTTAGCAACACAACGAAAGACAGAGGCAGAAGAGTAACAGCTCACAGATGTTTCCAATGATCTTAGCAAGCTTGATGTTAGTAATGAGATTCTGCGGATCAAGAAACTCCGCCATCTCGTCCTTTGTCAGGCCATCCATGCTTGGCATCTCAACATCAATATCATCGTCTCGAACGGTGATGGGCTGGCCAAGCTTTGATGCTGAGAAGCGGTCGAAGAAGTAAAGCACCCACCACGTTCGCCGTCGGCTCTCTCGCTCAACAGGAGTAAGCGTGGTGTGTCTTGATGCAGACCTATGCATGCCGAGACTTTGGGCGAGACGCATTGCTATTCCGCTGTAGCAGTATGCTGTTCGTATCCGGCCGAGTATGTTTGATGCCCAGGCCTGATGGTGGTTCATCGTTAGTCGACTTGAGGTGGAAATTGGTAAGGAGAGGCTTACTAGTAGTGTGAGAACTTCAACCTGCATCAGAGAAGGTTCCTCATAAAGGTCTTGATTCTCTTGCAACAAGTTGACCGACCTAACATAGTAGTTGGTTCCCGGCACTCTGTTATTATCACCCACTCCCCTTCTATGTGTATATATCTCGCCCAAAGCCATGAGCGCATAAAACTTGCACAACCACAGCGCTGATGGGACTACTTCCCTTCTATAAACAGCATCAATCTCCTTCATGAACGTAACTTTCAGAAATAGTGGATGGTAGTTCCCTATGAATCTTCGAGCGACATTAAGAAGTAACTTGACGTGCATCCGTTCCGGAAACTCTGGTCCTTGGTCTACCGGCAGTCTCCCATATGTGTTCATTCGATGATAGTTTGACAGACCAGCTGTCGATGGGGTATAGGTATCGTCGAGACATGATAATAGTCTATTGCTGAAGGCAGCGCATGAAGCTTCGCCAATGAATCCTGGTTCTGAGGATCGTTCATGGATGGGCTTTTCGGGTTGTCGGTCAAAGAGAGGGTTGAAGAGATTGCTCTCTTCTTTTGAAAGCGAGGGAGGGGCATCGATTTGGGTCTCTTGATCATCGAAGGGAGTGAATGTTGGGTTGGTTTCTGGGGTATGGTTGTGGGTTGTGATAGCCTGAAGCTGTCTGCTATCGTCTTCGAGCTTCTTGAGGTAACTGAACATGATGTTAGTATGTTATGATAACTTGAAGACGATTGAAGAACATGTCAGAATGGCTTGAGAACATTTGAATAGTATTTACCTTTCAGGAACTGGTATCTTTCGTTCTTTGTTCGCAGGGAATTGACATTCATCCGCCCTGCCCGTCGACTTACAAGACTGACAAGGCTTATCTCCTGAACACTTAATCTTTTGCGAATGACATCGATGGCAGCTACTTCACAATCAGACCAAATCTCAACACAACTCGGCAAGGGCATCTCACGCAGCAAGCAGTCTTCTCGGTCGTCGCGTGCTCATTTCGATTGAATTATCCTTGTAAATCGTTGAGTAATGGAATGATCTCAGACTCTGCGGGTCCGAGTCTGGGGTAATCGCCTGTATTTGCCGTTGATGGTCCCGAGGATGAGATGGTGGAGATGAACCGGTAACTTCAAAGTTGCCGGTCAGATTGATCGGCTTTGTTGGAGTTGCCGATGATTAAGCAGATTCTGGCCAATAGCGCTGTTGAAGGCGATGATAGCGAATCCACTCCACTTACACATTGAGGGCGTGGGAGAGATGTACCCCAGATTGTTTAATATAATACAGCTTCAAGCCGTCCAAGCTTAACCATGTCATCAACTCATCCTCATCTCAATCTCTCTCCCATCATTCACACTCTATTCCCTCCCTAAACTTCATCTCATCCTCACAATGTCATCTCAAGGCATCCGCATCGCCATCGACCGTGGTGGCACCTTCACAGATGCTTGGGCCGAAGTCCCCGGTCGACAAGAGCACATCGTCTTCAAGATCCTCTCAGTATGTCCTGATGAGTACGACGACGCTCCCACAGAATGCATTCGCCAGATCTTAGAGACCGCCCTAGACACAACAATACCCAAGGGCTCATTATTAGATCTTGCGCCGATTGAGTCCATTCGCATGGGCACTACAGTTGCTACCAATGCCCTCCTCGAAAGAAAGGGCGATCGCGTAGCCTTCCTTGCAACAAAGGGCTTCCGAGATGTTCTTCTCATTGGAAACCAGGCTAGACCTGATCTCTTTGATCTTTCGGTCCGTCGTTTGAAGCAACTTTACGAAACTGTCGTGGAGATCGATGAGCGAGTCACAATTGAAGGCGCGAGCGAAGCCCCTTCCAATGGCCCCATCGACGTCTCCTCAGATCCAGCGCTTGTTGTCGGTCAAACAGGAGAAGTTGTCAGAATCATGAAGAAACCAGACCTCGATCTTGTCCGCGCCGATCTTGAGGAACTCAAAGCTCAAGGCTTCAAGAACCTAGCTATCGGCCTCATGCACTCATACACATACCCCGACCACGAGTTGCAAGTAACAAAACTCGCTGAAGAAATGGGCTTCAAAGTCTCCGCTTCTTCGGTTTTGCAATCCATGGCCAAGTACGTGCCGCGCAGTCAATCAGCTGTCGCAGACGCATACCTTACACCAATGACGTTTGCCTACCTGGATGGCTTCCGCAAGAACTTCAAGGGCCAGTTGGAAGATGAGAGTGCAAATAAGCTCCTCATCTGCCAATCTGATGGTGGCTTGACAAGCTGGTCCAAGTTCACTGGACTGAGAGGTGTTCTTAGTGGTCCTGCTGGTGGTGTCGTCGGTCTATCGAGGACATGCTACGACGATGCCGACGGTACTCCTGTTCTGGGCTTCGATATGGGCGGTACCAGTACAGATGTCGCGAGATACTCTGGTGCTTTGGAGCATATCTTTGAGAACACCCTGGCCGAAGTGACTATCCAGACTCCTCAATTGGACATCAACACAGTCGCTGCAGGCGGTGGCTCAATCCTGTCTTGGGAGAACGGCCTTCTCAAAGTCGGTCCCAGCAGCGCTGGTGCCAATCCTGGCCCTGCATGTTACGGCAGGGGGGGTCCCTTGACAGTTACCGATGCTAATTTCCTCCTTGGTCGGATTATTCCCGACTTCTTCCCTCGCCGACTCGATCGTGATGTTGTGAGAGACAAGTTCGCTGCTCTTACGGATATTGTCAACAAGGAGAAGGAGGGTGGTGAACCATTCACGCCCGAGACTCTGGCACTGGGTTTCCTTGCCATCGCGAATGCGACAATGACACGACCCATTCGAACGCTCAGTGAAGGTCGTGGGTACGGTGCTTCAAGTCATAACTTGGGTTCGTTTGGCGGTGCTGGTGGTCAGCATGCTGTGTTCATCGCTCGAGATCTCGGTATCAAACGCGCCATCATCCCTTGCTACTCCAGTATCTTGTCCGCTTACGGCATGGCTCTCGCTGATGTCGTTGTCGAGAACCAAGAGCCTTCCGCCATCACCTTCTCCGAAGAAGTCGTCCCCGAGATCAAAGCCCGTCTCGAGTCCCTCTCTTCCAAGGGTGCCCAGGGCCTTGAGTCTCAAGGTTTCGACGCCAAGACTACTGAGCATGAGTACTTCCTCAACATGCGCTACCAGGGAAGCGACACCTCTCTCATGATCCCTGTATCACAGAATGTGGGAGATGCAGGCGCTGCTTTTACTGCTAGACACACCCAAGAGTTTGGCTTCTCTCAATCGCGCAACATCCTCATCGACGACGTTCGTGTTCGAAGTGTAGGAAAGTCCCGCGTCCTCAACATCTCTAGTCCTTTCGAAGAGCTCAAGAAGTACCAGTCCGATGGTCTTACTCCCGTCCCTACACCCATCTTCTCTCGAAAGATCTTCTTTGAGAATCACGGCTGGACCGAAACTCCTGTTTATGAGCTCAAGTCCATGTCTCCTGGTGTTCACATCACGGGTCCTGCAATGATCATCGACAAGACCCAGACGATCGTAGTTGATCATCTCAGCAAGGGTGTCATTCTCCCCGAGCATGTTATCCTTGAGGTTGACAAGGCTGAGAAGCAGAATGTTGCTACTGAGACTGTTGATCCTGTCACACTCAGTGTTTTCGGACATCGCTTCATGACTGTCGCTGAGCAGATGGGTCACACCATGGAAAAGACCTCGATCTCTGTTAACATCAAGGAGAGATTGGATTACTCCTGCGCCATCTTCTCTGCTGACGGTGGTCTTGTCGCCAACGCCCCTCATGTCCCCAGTCATCTTGGTTCCATGAGCACAGCCATCGCATACCAAGCTCAACGATACAAGGCTGGTGAATTGAAGCCCGGCGATGTCATCATCAGCAACCATCCTCAAGCTGGCGGTACTCATCTCCCCGACATCACCACCATCACGCCCGTGTTCGACGATGAAGAGAACCCCAAAGAGATCATCTTCTTTGTCGCCAATCGCGGTCATCACGCAGACATCGGCGGTATCGTCCCTGGCTCCATGCCTCCCAACTCCACTGAACTCTGGCAAGAGGGTGCCGCTATCGAGTCCTTCAAGATGATCGACGAGGGTGCCTTTGACGAAGCTGGTTTGATCAAGCATCTCTACGACGAACCCGCTTCGTATCCCGGCTGCAGCGGTACTCGTACTCTGACGGAGAACATCGCTGATCTCAAGGCTGCTGTGGCTTCTAACCAGAAGGGCATTGAGTTGATCAGAGCACTTATCAAGGAGTTCACTTGGCCTGTTGTTCAGCTTTACATGCATGCTATTCAGGACAACGCCGCTCAGTCTGTGCGCGATCTCCTCAAGCAATTTGCTGTGAAGCATGAGGGTGGTGTTCTTGAAGCAACAGAGTATAACGACGATGGTATCCCGTTCAAGCTCAAGGTTACCATCGACAAAGACACTGGAGATGCTGTTTTCGACTTTACTGGCACTGGACCCGAACACTCTGGTAACCTCAATGCGCCACCGACATGCTCATACTCTGTCATCATGGTAAGTTTACAGCCTCCCAGTATTGACCTCCACTGACATCGTCAAAGTACTGCCTCCGCTCCATGATCTCCAAAGGCGACATCCCCCTCAACCAAGGCTGCCTCAAGCCCATCAAAGTAATCTGTCCCCCCAACACCATCCTCTCCCCCTCCCCCACCGCCGCCACCGTCGGCTGCACAACCGAAACATCCCAAAAGATCGCCGATCTCGTCCTCCGCGCCTTCAACGCCGCGGCCGCCTCCCAAGGAACCATGAACAACCTCAGCTTCGGCTGTGGCGGTACAGATCCCGTCACCGGCGAAGTCACCAAGGGTTTCGGATACTACGAGACTATCTGTGGAGGTGCAGGTGCTGGACTCGGTTGGCATGGTGCTAGTGCTGTTCATACACACATGACGAATACTAGGATTACGGATCCAGAGATCTTGGAGAAAAGATATCCTGTTATTCTGCATGAGTTCTCTATTAGGAAGGGCAGTGGTGGTGCGGGAAAGTGGAGGGGTGGTGATGGTTGTGTGAGAGAGATGGAGTTCCGTATGCCTTTGCAGGTATCTGTTCTTACGGATCGACGAGTCACGGCGCCTTATGGCCTTGAGGGAGGTGAGGAGGGACAGAGGGGGCAGAATATTTGGGTGAGGAAAGATCCTGTTACGGGAGCTATGAGACAGGTTTCCCTTGGGCCGAGGAAGACATCGCATTTTGCAGTGGGAGATAGGATTATTATTCTGACACCTGGTGGTGGAGGCTATGGGTTGGCTTCGGAGGCGAAGGATGAGGTTGTTGTGCCGGAGAGGGATTCAAGATCGCTTTTGACAAATGGTAGTTTGGGAGTCAGGCATAGTATTGCCACTGGAAACTAGGTAGTCCTGTTAAACTGGAGTTAGCAATTACATGTTTACCACGTCACCCTCATCACTGCCTCTGGTGCACCTGTACCATCACAGTCTTCCCATTTCATCGAAGTTCTGTCTCATACGCCCAAATGAATCTGTTGTGCAAATCCAAGATGAGAATTTCTTGTACAATGCTTTCTGTTCGCTAATATACACTTTGATCAGAGTGGGATAACTGTTCATCTCCCCGACCCTAGCAAACCTTCACCAGTCATACTATCTTCTCTTTTCTACACTACCTTTTTAAAACTTATGAATCTTTCCCTTCTCAATCCCCAACTCCCCCAAAACACCCCCTCCCCTCTTCCCAACAAGCGCCTCCTCCATAGCCGGCGGTCCACAAACAAAAACCTTCTCCGTCCCCTTCGGCACAACCTCCTCCAGCAACTCCCTATCAACCCTCCCCTTCCTCATAACCGACCCCTCGCTCGGTCTACTAACCGTGTACTTGACACTAAACCTCTCTGGAAACTCTTTCGCAAAACCATCGAGCTCCTTCTTCAACAGAACATCATCATCTGTGTTTGCGCCGAATACAAGAGTCATGCGGGTTTTGTCTTCGGGGTTGCGGAGGATTCCTTGGGCGAGTTGGTAGATCGGTGTTATACCGCAGCCGCCGGCGATGAGAGTTATGTGCGAGAAGGTGTTGGACTTCCATTTGTAGCCAGAGAGGGTGGTGAGGATGAAGAGGGTGTCGCCTGGTTTGAGAGAGTGGAGATAGCCGCTTCCTTTGCCGTTGGGATATTTCTTGACCATTAGTTCTACATATCCAGGTTCATCTATTATATTCAGTACCTAGTCCATTTCTATAGCCGTGTCACTTACCAGAAGGTGAGATGGGAGAGTAAGGTCTCGGCGTAGGAAGCCAAGATCCCTCAGGCCATGTGAACGTCAACAGAGCAGCTATACGCAGTCAGCAATGATCCAGCTACTCTGCGCAGTAAACTCACAAGTCAATGGCAGTCCAGAAATAGCGGTTTCTTGAGGCAGCTTGAACCTCAACCTCTTGGTATCATGCGTCTCATCCTCAGAACTATGCAACGGCAGCTTAACCGACGCAAAACCCCCCTTGAAAATCTTCTGCGCTTCACGAGATTCCGCTGAAGCTGTTCCAAACATCATTTTCGAACAGACGGCAACACCGATTGCTCCAACAGTGAGGCCTGCGATGAGCGGTGCAGGGCGAGTTCGAAGGGGTAAGCGAAGTGCCATTTTGCTTTCAAGTTAATTAAACAAAATAACCAATTGGTAAGAAACCGAATTGAAGAATTGATCGGCTTGTATTACGGCAAAAATTAATGGTGTTTGTGTGACGTGTTTTGCCCTTTTATACTCATTTCTTCCTCCCGGTCTTACGGTCTTTCTATACGGACATTCGTACATGTCCGGCGCGAAGGTGGCGTGAGACGGTCCCGAACACTATGAAACGGCGCCGAAGAGTTGCACCGGGTCCGGTAACTTTTAACGGTCTTTACCGTGAACACGCGTTTCAGAAACCATCCGCGGTAGATTTACAAGGGACCTATTCCTTCATGTCGATCATCTCGCGGTTCCGACCTCCGACTCCAGTTCTTGTACAAAAGATTATCCTTGTTCGATGCTCTATATTACACATACATACATAATACAAGTCTGTTCATCATCAGACCAAATGTAACTTTTCATCCATGTCCTTCGCTACGTTTATCGACTCTGCTAAAACATCCTTCTCCCCTATTGTCAAAGCACTCGCTTTCGTGCCGACCATGCAACTCATGGATTGCTTGCTTCCGCCTTTATGCCATGTTTGGTCAATCATCCAATGCGTCGGGACTTCGAATTCTGTCTGGTTGACGGCTTTGTTCTTAAGTAAACCGCCGTTGTACCACAGGAGTTTCTCGTTCTGGTCGACGTGGGCGATGACGAAGCTGCAGACGCGGACTTGTTCGTCCTCGCGCTTCTTGTCGTCCTTTTTCTTCTCTTCTTTTGCCTTCTTTGCGGCGTCGAGCTCTGCTTTCGTGGGACCTAACCATCCGACAATGCCGCCGTAATGAGGTGAGAAGGCGTATTTGGATCCTGTGGCTTCGAAACCGATCCACCAACTCTCTTTATCGCCATATGTAATCTTGTACGTAACCTCGTTGCGCACCCGCTCAGAGTTCTGCCATCCAATATGGAGGAGACCAAGCAGAACGTCAAGCCTGGACTTGTCGACGACGACAATACCAGAATCTCCCTCTTCAGAATATCGCTCCGTCCAAACAAGCGACTTTTCCGTCTCGGGGCTGGGGTGCTTGATCTGATCATGCCACCAATCCTGACGATCCGCAAATCCATTCTTCCAGAGCAGCCTATCATGAAACAGCAGTACACCAGTTTCTTTAAATCGATCCTGACGAAGAAGATGTCGAGGATCTTGGAAGAATACTGCATCTGCATCGAGAAGAATGACCTGCTCAAAGCGACTCGCCAATGCAGCGAACGGTTTTATCGCCCAGCCTCCATCAGCAAGCTTCAATGTACTGTCGTCGAAAACAGTAAGAACATTGAGCATTTCAATCTTGGCTCCATTGGCAGCTTGTTGTATCTTTTTTCGTCCAGCGGCTGATAAATCATCATCTCCTGCGTATACAACTTGAATTGGGAGGGTGGTCTTGTGGACGCGCGTCAATGCTGCGACGAGATGGCATGCGAATCGGAGTGTTTTTTCGCCCGTGGGGATAACGATTCCAGCTGGTGCTTTATCAGTCTTGACACTTTTGCTGCTGTACGAAAGACCAAGACGATCGTAGATATCGACAAGAGGCGGCGAAACACCCTGTTTCGAATTGAGCCACGGAAACTGCTTTTCCACGATTTGTCCAACAAGTTCCGCTGTCTCGTGAGTGTCGTCTCGCCCTTCCAATTCCTCAAACCAAGATCGCAACAATTCTGTCCGTTGTCCAAGTTCTCCAAAAATCGCCTTCGGTTCGTCCTTTAACGGATAATCGAGAAAATATCGTGCGCCAAGTTTTATCGCTTCAACACCGCGCAAATTTGAATTCGCTTTCGTAGTGCTCTGAAAGTTATTACTGGGTGTGTAAAAAGAAACATCGCGATAGTGATAAAGGACGCCAACGAAGAGCCATATCGACGCAATAGCAGCTGTGATCTGTATTGACTTTGCGCTCAGACGCAGCGACGGCATAGTAAGCATTGCGAAAGAGTGAATAGCAACATTACAGCAAGAGAGATAAGAAAAGAGGAAGCCTGTTGATTTATGTTTCCACGTCACCTTGGAAATTCAACATTCTCTAGCGCTTATCGAATCCAAGGGATCCGATCCGAGACATGGATTTCTGCATTTTCAGCTGCAGGGCATGGACCCATTCTGCATACAGGCCGCTAATTCAAGGCACTGCTGGGCAAAAATAGCTGACGGATGCACGGCAGTGGCTTGAACTTTACGTACGTTAGTTGGCGCCGCCCACGTTCCGAGCATGCGTAAGTCTTGGCTGCGACGCGTGTGCGTTCCTGCGTGCGTTTAGATAGCGATTAGATAGCGATTAGATTAGAGAGGCATGGGCAATTGAGCACGATCAATGCCATAATTGGTAGGGCATTCACTTGGCTTGTAACTTGACTAGTCGTAAGTATGTCGTCAGTCGATGGGTGATCTTCATCTAAGCCCTCTCGTATTAGAGGCACCACAATCCTTCAGGATGCACTCCATTCCTGAAGTGACTGAAACCCAATGCAAGGTTTATTCCATCGCAATTGACGCGGCAGGGAATAAAATCTACTGTATTGTATTCTCCTGCCTCAGAGACACTTCAACAATGAAATGCAGTGTCTGGATATGATGTGATGTTTGCAGTGGAGGGCAGGTGTTTTGTCGCAGTCACGCACATACACCACGTCAAGGTGAATGTCGTCCTTCTATAACTCCCAAGGTAAGCGATAGGGCTGAATGTTTGATCAAGTCCGCTCTTTTTCGCTTAATAAAGAAGATCGTGACGTGAATGGCCGTTATATACGGTAACGCCCAGAGTTTGAGCCTCAAATTAGTCAACTCCTCAGCCAAGCCTGGGCACAAACAACCCCGCCCCCGCGATCCTCATCTGAAGCTCACTTCGCTTCATCATAACATCTCATCAACAACCTCACCCACAATAACTCCATCATACAGACTCACTCTCAGCCCTACCGAACTTACAAGCTATGTCTAAAGATCTCGACAAGTCCCTACTTGATCGTCTAAACGCCCTTAGAGGCAACAGCGCAGGCCAAGACAAGCCAGTATCAACAGAGTACATCACCTACAGACCTCAGATATCTACCCCAACTAACACTTTATCAGGATCAAAGTTGATCTAATTGAGCGCAAAAAGGCGCCAACTCGAGATGATACATTAGCAGCTCGTCTCAAGTCCCTACGAGACCGTGGCGATGAACCTGCACCTACACCAGCAACAGCACCAAAGACAGCCCAACCACCATCAAAACCAACACCTCAGCCAGAAAAGACACCAAGGAAGGAATCCCCCAAACTTGAAGACGAAGAAGATGATTCCATCTTCCAAACAGACGATCAAACTCTAGAAGAGTTACTAGGCGACGTACAACCCGAAGAAGGCTTTAATCCCGAACCAGACGACGCCCAGGTCAAAGCATTTCTTGAGCAACTCGCAGACTCAATACCAAAGGATACAGAAAACGAGAGAAATAAGAAGGAGGGCGATTCAGATGATTTAGATGGAGAAGCAATGAATAAAGATGTCGATGAAGTCATCGCCCGCTTCCGCGACGAAGCAGAAGTCGAAGCAGCCCTCGCAAAGACCAAAACCCCCGATCCAGAATCAGAGTCTGAACCTGAACAAACTACCTCCAAAACAGACGATATCGCTCTTCCAGATGTTCCCTCCGACCTCGCCGACATTCCCTCCTCGAAGCGTGCTGGGAGCGCAGACATAGATGACATAACCGCCCGTCTCGCTGCTCTACGCGCACCATCTCCCGACCAAGATTCCCTCGCCCTTCCCTCCGTACCTACGTCCAAACCCTCAGGTCAACCGGTGAATCGCCTAACTTCACGGACAAACTACACCGATGACGATGTGGAGAGCTGGTGTACCGTTTGTTTAGAGGACGCAACGGTGCGATGTCCAGGGTGCGATGATGACGTTTACTGTACGCGATGTTGGTACGAGATGCATCGGGGACCACAAGCTGGCTTCGACGAGAGGAGTCACAAAGCTGTGCAGTTCACCAAGGATAAGAAGGAGAAGGAGAAGAAGAAGAAGGTAGCGCTGGGAGCATAAAACCATTTCAATTTCGAGCTAGACCTCACTACCATTTGCCATTCCTTGCCTGTTAAAACAAATACCCAAATACTGCGAAACTAAACTCCTAACCACCGTGTTGCCGTGCCAAACCAAAGATGCCTGCATCAATCTGAACCAACTCATACTATTTTATACGCCAACTTCAAGCAGCGGATTGCGAGCCATTGCCATTGGTAGCAGACTCGTTTCCTGAGCTGCTGGGCTTTCCTCGCACATCCTGCCATGTCGCGCCGAATCGTCGGCCAGTTGATGCGAGGAGACTCTCTTCCTCGTCAGCCTCGGCTTCTTCGTCGATCTGAGAAAGATTGAGCTTGGGGGTGCGGAAGAGAGCTGTGACGAAGACGATGAGGAAAACACCAAGGAAGGCGAATTGAGCCCAGAAGTCGACGAGACCGAAAAAGGGCCATGTGATTGTGATGCGGTTGAGGAATGTTGACATGACCGATGGTGTGCAGACGTCTTTGGCGTGCTTGTACTTCAGCGCTTCTGAGCAAGCATGGATCATGTCCTTGTGGTTTCGGCAGTCTGGCTGATCTCCAGGATGTTCAGGCTCGTTAGCGCAGAAAGTCTGCGTGCCGTAGGTAGAGTACTGAGGAGCAACCAACATAGCGATACCGTAGTTGGTGGCCAAGATTATCAGACCCAACATGACAGTCGCGATGAGAAGAGCCTGAGGAGCAGTTCTGCCCTTGCGAATCTGGAAGATGCGAACCCAGAGGAAGCGAATACCCACTGTGGCAATGCCAGAGATGGAGCTACTGAAGAAGAAAAGGACCAGAAGAGCCATGAGGATGTAGTCGACGGGGAAGGCCTTGGCGGACTTGACGAAGATGAAGTTCATGGGCTGGAAGACATGGATCTGGCCAAGGATGTAACCGCACTTTTGCTTGCAAACCGAGTTCTTGGCCTTGTCAATGCCAGTGATGAGCATCGATACGAAGATGACGAGAGATAAAAGGAGGAGGAAGATTCCACCGAGAAGCTTGATGGGGCGGAAGACGGCGCAGACCTTGAGCCAAGCTTGGTAGACCCTGCTGCGGCCTTCACCCTGAGCTTCGGCCGCGAGTCTTTCACGTCGAACAAGTGTCTGTTCCTCTCTGACGAGAGCATCGAGCTCTCGCTGATCCTTTCGAGACATGCCCTCCTGTCTGCCGGCATTACGCATCTCGATCTGTCGCTGGCGTTCGCGGTTCTGCTCAAGCTGAGAAGCAGTATTCTGGTGGAGCTGAGGAGCTGAGATTGAAGGTGCCGCCTTGATGAACGAGATGGGGAGAAGGGCAAGGCCAGCGCCGGTGTAGACAACATAGAGCAGTGTGCCGAGAGTGAGTAGAAGACCCAGTGCAAAAGTCAACGCTTTTTCGCCATGGTTTTGGGCAACGAGCTTCTTGAAGTAGTCCAGGTCCCAGTGCGACTCGGAGCTGTCGCCGGCGGCAGGGACGAAGAAACCGAGTAAGAATAGAACAACGACAAATGCGACGAAGAAGAGTGTGTACTTGGCAGCGGCCAAGAAGCGGCTGCCCAAGGTTCGACCTTCCTCCTCAACCTCGATTTCATCGTACTCCTCATGCCAGAAGTAGGCGAAAGGAATGATAATCAGACAGAGGAGAGAATCGAAGCTATACAAGCTATAGTAGACGACCTTGAGGGTGTAGAGGATACTATCGATGCGTTCGGGAGTAGCCCAGTCCTTCTTGGCGCCAAGGGTTGCAGAGGCAGTCGCAGAGACGAGAGCAATATCGACAGGGAGCAGTAGAACTGTAGCGAGTAGAGAGGTCAAGCTGATGATGGCGACGATGCTGACGATGGTAGAACGTTCGCGGGGCGTTTGCCAGGTAAATGTTGTGATGATAGCAGCTGCGAGACAGAGAACGACAGCGACGGCATAAGCGACCCAGATCAAACTGGTCTGGACGAGGCCTGCGTGAGCCATTTTGGATTAATGTGAAAGACTGTTGTTGCAAATGATGATCAACAAGCAAGTCGAAGTGAATCCGCTAGACCGGGTCGCGACGTGGCTTGGGGATGTTTTTCTTTTTAAAGTAGCAGATCTCGGGGATTTCGAAGGACATCAATCGATCCCAAACCAAGGGTGACGTCGCTAACGAGTCGATCTGTGCAGCAACGTGATTAACTTTGATCAATCAGAGAAAGGCAAGTTTCGTAGAAAAACAAGATTCAGTGGCTTCGATCAGAAGTGGTCAAGCTTGAGGTGAGCTTGAAGCTGCCGATGTTTTCGTGACGCAATGTATACGCTAGCGTTTGTGCTAAGTGGAGATGGCTCTGCCTCGCTAGCTCACCCCTGGAACATCGACTAACTTTTATCGATAGGCCGGGGCCAGGGTGAGTGATACGGAAGACGGAGGTCAATAATCCGTTTGGAGCTTTGAGCTCTACTCTTTTGGGCCAAACATTCAATAAAGCAACATCGCGAACGACGTGAACGAGCTCAGCAAAACAACCAATTTTTCGGTTACAAAAGAATGGTCTCGCTGAAATGCAGGCCTACACCGAGCTTGCGGCTCCCTCAGCCGTAACACACTCCTTGACTGTCTCTCTCACTTCAGCTACAGCTACCAACCTCGTTGTCGCAAAAGGTTCCCTACTCCAAATCTTTACAACAAAGGCCATCTCCGCCGAATTCGATCCCGAGAACCAACCTGCCCAGACAGCAAAGCCTGAACCCGAATTTGATCACCGCGCTAACGACGATGATGGCCTCGAGTCTTCGTTTCTTGGCGGCGAGACAATGCTTGTCCGAACCGATCGCACGAACCTCACGAAGCTAGTTCTTGTCACGGAACTTCCGCTATCCGGCACCGTCACGGGTTTGGCCAAGGTCAAGACGAAGCATTCGAAATGTGGAGGCGAAGCT